ACTGCCTAGCGTAATCTTTTTCGCTTATTGAAATGCAAAACTCAGAGCAGTCTTGTATGATTTTGGTCACCATAGCCTTAAAAAAGTCTTAAAAAGCCTTAAAAGATCACTGACCTGAAATAGGCTTTTGACCTTTTGCTTAGAAGCAGTTGCCTAGATTATGGGGGTACTTTGGAGGCCAACCTGAAATAGGACTTGTCTGACGTTATTCGACCTGAAGGTTATAACCTAGGAAGCTCAAACTTTGACCTAAGTGAGTTTACGTACAGATCAAGACACCCTGTAAATTTGGTGTCTCTAGCTTTCTTAGTTCCCGAGATCTCAGGGGGGGTTCAAATTGACCCCCACCCCACCCCCACCCGAGCGCAGCGTATCTCGCCGGCCACCCGGGCGCGTGTTAAAATCCAGTCATTCCATTAGCCACGCAGCGATCAATGCCAAAACAGACATGTTTCTTTAAGTCGTCCAGATCCGGCGTTCGTGAACTTACTTTCCAGAGGAAACGACCGTCAACTGGCTCTCAACCAATGTTGAGCAAGGCACGCTTACTTCAATGTCTTTAAATTTGGAAATCCCCTTTAACCCTTACCCCAATAGACGAGTCTACGGCCCCGCAATGCTTTTTTTGGTTTTCTGAGCATATCTCTCCGATATTTTATGAAATCGTGCCCAGATTTTCACCATGCCATGAAACATTTATTGTACACTTTTTGACTCCGGCTATGTGTCTAGCTTTTTTGGTTTCCGGGAAGCGACGGTTGTTAAAAAATGATGCGCGGCGATCTTTGGCCGACGGCCGAAGAACAGAAATAGAAAAATATGAATTCTAACATTTTTGCCGGTGTAACAGCTGTCCTCTCTCGGACACATCCAGAATCTCCTGTCATGCCAACGGCACTTAGTCCCGTACTCCATCCTCAAAACCACCGATTGCTTAATACGGAGGCCGTCTGAAGCATATCAGACCTTACAAGTTAACAGCATAACAAGACATACTTCTCGCTTAACTCCTGTGCTATCCGTCGTTTGCATCTCGAATTCTCACGCCTTTTACCTTCATGTTGACCCTTCATGCCCAAATCGTACTATTCGTGACGAAATTATCGCCTGCACGTGTGACGCCTCGCATCAAAACGGATGAATCAGAGTTCATGGCTGATTACGATGTGACTAAGCTGAGCCAGCAGCATGAACAAAAGGGGCTTAACATTCATACTTTTACCAGCGCTTAGCTGAACATGCAGCACGAACAAAAAAAGACCAGACCCTCCTAGTGGAATTGCCAATAAAACTTAACGCTTCAGCTGCAGCACGAGACATCAAATGCATGCAACACGAGTCACGGGCGCTGGGCCGTAGGCCCTTCTCTGGCAACGTTGACTGGGGATCCTGCTAGCCGAGGTACCTGAACGAATAGGCCGGCGACGCCAAATGTGAGCCGCTCGCTCAGTACTCAAAGACGGGCTCTTGAGCCGCTTCGGCGCTCCGAGCCACCGCCGTGGTCCTGGCGTCGCGCTGTGCGCGTTGGGGATGGAGATCGCACGGCGCGTTGTCGTTCAATCCAGCCCCTATGGGGCGCTAGCGACTGCACCGGCTCTGTGGACGGACGGAGAGCCCGAGGTCTTCCGGGCATGTTCGTGTTTACTTGTTGGTCGTTTGACGGCGGTTTACTGCTGACCATAGGCAGCGGACTAATAGTCAGTTGCAGATATGTATGAGGTTGAATGTCCTCCAAGGGGCCCCAGCCTGCGTGGCGCCTGGCGAGGGAGCGGAAGTGTATATGACACCGACCGTACGCCCACGCCACGACATTGACCTTCGCTCGATTCGAGCCAATGACCCGTGGTAATGTACCGCGACGACCGAGTTATCAGAAGCCGAGGGAGCCACCCCATCTCCGGTGACCTGCGGGACACACGTGTTTCCCTACGCCCTATTGATGCGATTGCCTGCGGAGTTTTCAGACCGTTAACCGTCACAATTACAACGCCGCGGACAGGTAAATCAGGCGTCTGTACAAACGTTTAAGAACCTCCAGCATTCATCGTGGCGAAATCCACGCGTTCTATAAACACCAAAATGAGAGCAGATTATGACCCAGCCCAGGTCAACTGCAGATCACTTGCATGTGTGACATTTGCTATAAAATATCGCACATCGTTGTACGCACCATGAATCACTGAGATGAAGAATAATACCAGGCCACTTACAGCTTGGCAGGTTATCTGCAAATTCCCGAAAAGCAACGATCATTTTCTTTCGCCGAGTACTGTGTCAAAACTGACATGCTTTCATCGAATGTTGTGCAAACGAATATTCACGGCTCAATTAATTTTGTCCGTTTCTGTTTGTCTGTAAGTTCGCTGGTCCTCACCCGTGATCCAACATTACCTGCTTGCTGGACATTGTCTAGTTTGGCCTCCGTAGGCCCATAAAGCATGCCGCTACGTCACTGTGCTTACTGGTCGAGTCAGACTAGCCAATGTCCAACAGATGCTGACTCATGCGTAAAGTCCAGGGTGCAGTCCAGTAAGTACAGTGCTAATAAAAAATCGAGTAAAACCGATTGGCTCATGCTTTTACTGGTATCGTTTGCCACCCATCTGCATCGCCATCCACAATAAACCATTTAACCAGATGGCCGGAAAATCGAAACGTAACACATTTTTAGGTGTTGACAACATCTCGGCAACCTGTGTGGGTAACCCGGATCATTTCCAGACTCAATACTTTATACTACGTCCAAAGACGTGCGATATGTTATGGCAAACGCAACACATATAGGACATTTGGCATTGACCTGACATGGTCTGGGTCATGACTCTGTTTTACTTTTTATGTGTCAATGGATTATGTGAACACAGTAACACGCATGTCTTGATGGGCCCTAATGCCTGCCTAAGCACTTGATTGGCCCATTCTGCTGCATCCTGGTGCAATCATGTTCTTTATTTACGCTGTCTCCCATCACCCAGTTACCAGAAAAGCTCTTATCCAAACCTTCCGCAACAGAATGAGCGCAGGCTAGTACCCACTAAACCTGCCAGAACTAAACAGGTTGGCTTGTTACTGCACTTCCTTCCAGGCAGCATGAGCAAATTTCAAAACTACATTCAAATAAGCAGTAAATGCACAAGTAGCATCATGGTTGAGAACTAAATCGTGCGAACAAAACGAGCACGAGGGAGCGATGGCAAAAACATTGAAAGCATCCAGATCTAGATGCAGCATTTCTACGTGACCACTAACACGATGTCCCTGTCTCTGTGCGAATGCATGCTTTTTAGCCCGCTGGCATGGGCAGAGGGCAGTCTTGACCGATGTCGGATCAGATTTCGACATCGCGGGACGTTTGCCAAACATCTTTGTCATCGACGGACCATACCGGCTGCTGGTGGTTCTCAACACCAGGTGCGGCCACTTTTGAATTCTTAGGATGCTATCAGTGTTGTGTCCAAAATCTACAATATATATATATATATATATATATATATATATATATATATATATATATATATATAGCGCAGATCACCTTTCCCCAAACAACCGGGCACAGGCCCAACTCGCGCCACTTGTAGTCACCGCGGGAGAGTGCGGGACATCGCTGCGAACCTTGATCAGTCGCTGTCACAATGTCTTTGCCTCGCCTTTGCGACGGGGCTTTACGGGCTGTGCGTTACAGGGACGTGACGACTGACTGTAAAGAACCGCCGGATCCCTCGTGATGAGTCCGCCCTGCGGCTGAGCCCGCCCTTGGCCATGACTTATCACGCCAAGGTATACGGCGCTGCACCGCGCTCCCATCCATAATAAGGGGTGTGCGTAGTCCAGTTGTCCTGCACAGACGCGTGGGGGGCCTGCAATGGAGCACGACATCGTGCGGCCACCGCACCGCCGGAGAGTGGAACATCGCAGGCCCGATCCGTGCTTGTCTCACGGGGCCGAGCAGGGCGTTTTCAAGAAGGTGAGAACCCGAGGCATGCGCGCCCTTCCCATTACCATTTGTTCATGTATAATTTGCAAGTTAATGTCAACAATGAAAAGTTAAGTGGTCACCTAAACTAAAGTGAAAGTGGATGGCAGGCGATTCTGTCATGCATCCAGACTATGCAATGAGCTTCGCGTGCCTGCGGCGTGGCAAATATTTTTTGGTGTTCCAAATTCGGGTTATGTTTCCTCCCCATTCATTGTGAAACCCTGCATGCGCTGCTTGGGACAATGGTGGACCACACATGGAGCCCCCTTAGCTGGGCCCCCTACACGTTCGTTCGCCTGGTTCTGTTCCCCGAGTTGTGATCCTACTCATGTGTGTGTCATCGATGCCACGAATTAGCTGAAGTGGGCCTGGCACCCATATGCTACCTAGCCCTGCAGGTGAATGCAACTTCGTGGTTTTGGAACACGCGATTAGTTCTATGTCGTGAGTGACTTCAGTCATTTTTTTGCGCGAGAGGCTGGAAGCCATAAAGGGAAAGGTGAAAATGACACGCCATGTTTTGCAGTCTTACGTGCATCAGGATTCACGTGAGCTAGCTTAGTGTTCGTTGCTTCTTCGCCTAACATCGACATTCACGGTCGCGTTGCCTCCATTGTGACTGGTCTTGACATCTAGCGGTAAAGTTTACAAACATAGTTTGTGTGATCTGCCACTCTTCGGCATGTGCCATGAAGCTAGTTGTTTGATAGGGAGGCATGTCGTGGTCGTCAAGACCGAGTAGCGTGCAAATGTTCAACATGACCAGCAAATTTATCGCTTGGGCATGGGTACCATGCATACGCAGACCACAGAATGTGCAAACAGCTGCTATGACAGGTAATTGGTTCACTGCGACAAAAATGTTTGTGCTGGTGCGGGAAAGACGGCATTTAGTTGTGCAAAAGGCATTGACTGAGAGCAATAACATGATGTACATGTGCAGTCAAGCCTAGCGATTCTATGTCATCGTCACCGGCCGCTGCTGCTGGAACCGTCAGACGTATGAGGAGAATAAAAGCCGAGCATCGTTGAACATATCTTTATTTCATCAGTGTCCATAATAGCGCTTTCGACAATGAAATCCAACAAATAACTGCTACTGCTCAGACGTGGGTGTAAAATCGTTGCAATGCATGTAGCCCTGTGATCTGCAGCAGCGGCGGCGGCAGCGAGCCGGCGCACTGCCAACACCGCGGTGGTGAAAGAGACCTGGACCGTCATGAGCGAGGGGGAGGTCACGGGGGGCGGGGGCAGTCCAGGGCGGGCGTGCCGGAGACGTGACTGGGGGCGGCCCGGCGGCCGGCGAGGAGACGGCGCAGAACTGTGGCGCACACCGGAGGAGCAGAGAGGAGCGAGCTAACCGAGAGCGGGGCCGGCGGCGGCCCGGGCCGTGCCGCCGGCCGCCGTCCCGCAGAGGTGCGGCGCCGGCACGGGGCCGGGGCCGAGGCACTACTGCTATAGGTATGTAACATTACAAACGCCTGTTGAGTCTTTGGCACGTCTGAGCCTGGTCCGGTGCCCCATCCACAATCCAGACGGCGATACTCCAGCATAACACGCGAACGGTTACACAGCGAATATACCAAGAATATCCGGTGACTCGGGTGCACCCACCCTTGATCTATACTGAAGGTCTCTGCTATAGTGCTAGTTGCAGGTTAACAGCATGATATATAGTTGGTAAAGTCCTGTCCTACGAACAGTTTTGATATAAAATCACGTACTGAGTAACAAGCAGTAACATGACTGTACACAAGATTAAAATACTGCAGTGACGAATGCAAGCATACGCACAAAGAGAATCTGAGAAAACTACAGTGGAGTACAGTCCAGATATCGACCCAGTGCCGTACTAGAAATATTTGTATCATATTTCGCATTTATTACAAAATCCGACAAAATTAACAACGACATCGGCACGCCAGCCGCCTCGGCCCGTATGAAAGATGCGCCCGACGTATCACGATCAGCTGCCGGCCTCCTCGTCGGCGCCGTGGATCTGCACCTGCGGCGGCGGCAGCTCGACGATGCGCCCCATCGAGCCGAGTGCGTCGGCGCCTCGCCGTCGCCCGCTGTCGCGGCGCTCCAGAGAGTCGAAGCCGACGATGCCGAGCCCGGGCAGGCCGGCACTCAGCACGCCGATGCGGCTGAACGACTCGCCCAGGTGGTAGCTGGAACGGCGCGACGAGTCGGCCGAGTCGCCGCTGCAGCGCGAGCCGGGGCGCGAGCCCGAGCCGGACGCCACGCTGCCGGTGCGCGAGCGCCGGCCGCCGGCCACCAGGCTCGGCACGTGCAGGTACGAGGCGACGCGCTGCAGGAACATGGGCGTGGTGGGCGAGCGGCCGGGGCTTGTCTGCGTCTGCGAGTCGCCCAGCGTCAGCGCCAGACGTTCACGCTCGCGCTTCCGCCTGCAACGCACAACGCGAAGCGCGCGAGTCAGCCGGGCGGAGCGGTGGAACGGAACGGCGCGACGGAACGGTGGGACGGCGAGACCGATCGGCGCGATGGGCTCCAGCACGTCAGGAACTGCAGTGAATGCGGTGCGGAAGTCCTTCCTCGGCTGTGCATGGATACACTTAGACTGAAGGGTTTCAGCACAATGCGTAGATGCTGGTTTTGAGAATCATGCTCCTATTTTGTTGGCAAGGTCCTTCATCCTGGGTAAGACCCACGTGACTAGGTTTACAAATGGCAAAACAATGAAGTTTAAATGACAAAGTCAAGATACTTTAATGACACTATAAGCATAACTATGATTCCAGTTCGTCGCCTTTGTTTTGAAGGCGGGAACATTTGAATATGAATTTGTCCTCAGATGAACGCAGCCAAGGCATCCTTACAATCAATAATAATACCCGCAATCAAGGCATTGCAAACACCATGCTTCACAGGATGGCAATATGGTGCAATGGATCCGTTTAGTGCAGCCTTCACAAATTTTCTAAAGCGGGAAAAGTTTCTCGGGGCTCACACACTTACACAACAAAACGCATATAAAGTACCTTAAACTCGCGATCGCAACACTTTGCAAAGCCCCCTTCTGACTTACGCGTCCAATCGACACATCAAGTCAGATCACACAGGCACGAAACATATATACACCAGGATACAAAGGGAAGACAAAACTTCAAGGCCGGTTACTAAGTCAGAACGCTGATTGTCGCAAAGGTAAAAACCCTAATACGCGCTGGCAAAAATCTTCAAAACTCTGAAGCAATTCTAGCACACGCGTGAAGTTCACTACCACACGTGCTGGACGCTGGCACCGCCGCCCGCTGCCGGGCCGGCCAGCGCCGCAGGTGAAGGGTACGTCCACAGCTGGCGATCGCTACCTCGAGACGAGGGGAGGGGGGAGGGGGAGGGAGCGTGACGTGCGGGGGGAGGGGGGGGGGGGGGGGGGAGAGGGCGGAGGAGGGGCGCTCGGAAGGGAGCCATGCGGTGCTGCCGTCCCATCCCGCAGCATTCTCCACAAGGGCCACCCGCGAGGAGCGGCAAGATGGTGTGCCGTTGGAGCGCCGCTGGACGCTTAGTGCACTACCTCTATTTCGATGCAGTTCAATGTACGGTACCGCGAATAAACCGGTCTGGAAACGCTGGCAGCCCATTGCATAACATATATTTTTGGCGATTTCACACGCTGAGTGAGCCTCTTCAAAATCGGATTCCCGGTATAACTCATATTCATTGTTGTTATTAGTTGCCCAACTTTTCTAAATAACAACGGCAGTTTATCTGTTGACAGCTGCCTGAGAATGAAATCTAGATGGCGCAACTGCCACGGCGCGAAGCACGAAAACAGGATGCCAGAGCCCAGCTGTTTACAACCCGAGCTCTGCTCTACTATCTGTTTGAAGAAATCCGACGAAAACGCTATCTAGCACAGCTCATCCGCCGGCTAGGCGCAGGCGGCGGGCTCGGGGACGGAGCCCCAATAGCCCAGCGCCAGCAGCAGGCCTGGTCTTCACGAGACACAGGTGTAGTGCAGGCCTGGTCTTCACGAGACACAGGTGTAGTGCAGGCTGGTCTTCACGAGACACAGGTCCGGCACGGATCCCGCAGTCATCGGTCACCCGTGACCAGCCACGTGACCGCGACCCAGCCGCGGTCCACCCCGCTGGAAAGCCGGCCGCCGCGGGCCTGGCGAAAGCCGCGCTGGTGCAAGGCCGGGGCAGGGGCGCGGCGCACTCGAGTGCGGTGTCCGGGCCGTGCGTGCAGGGAGCATGCCAAGAGAACGCGAACCCGTTACCTATGCCAGAACACAGCAACTATTTGTGTCAAGAGCGTGAGTGCTGTCAGCGATATGCAAGCTTTCTACAGGCGGCGGTGCTGGTTCGCGACCCAGCGCGGTTGCGGCTGAAATGAACAAGGACGGGCGCGTCACGGGCGGCCCACGAAGCCGGCAGCCGGCGCTCGCAGCGAACGGAGCGGAGCGGCGGCGAAGCGCCACCCACCGCTGCTGTTGGGGGCGGCGGCAGCGGACGGCGGTGGGATGAGCTGGCGTCGAGTGGGAGTGGCCAGGCAAAGGTGGGGGTGGCGCGGGGAGAGAAGAGGGTCCGAGGAGGTGTCACATTGAATGTTTTTTGATGAGGCCAGGAGTGAGAAGCTCAGGGTGACGCTTCTGTTACCGAGGCATCGCAGAATCAATAGAAGGCAAGGGCGAATTACATCTTTTCATCAAAACTAACGTTGAATGAAACCGACCCCATTGAGATAGCCTGGCAGCGACACAGGCTGCGAATATTGAGCTGGCAAGGCCTACCATCCACTCTTTTTCACTCCACTTATTGCTGTAGGCGAAGCACGACAAGAGGATGCTGCAGCCCGACGGCGGATGACAAGGTCTGCCAGCTGATAACGCAGCCCGATGGCTTACAACCGAGCTCCGCTCCATCATTTGTTCCGAGGAATGTGCCAATACGCATGGCCCGAATGATCTGTTGAAGCTGAACCATCTGAACGGATCACATATATGCGAAGGCAACGGTAATGCTGAAGGAAGGATGCTGCCTCGCTTCCTTCTGCGGTGTGGGATAGGACGGCGTGGACGTGGAACGACACTCACCAGCATACAACCGCGGCTCAATGTGTAAACAAACAAGCACATGTATCCTACACCGGTGCCGGAAGCGCCATTCATATCAAAAACAGCTCGTCACAGACGCCACCCGGGGTGTAGTTATCATGCAGCGATTTGAGGATGAACCAGCAGCGCGGGACGCTGTGTCGGCGGAACACGACACGTCTGCGCGCAGTCGGCGCCGCACGGCACGCGCCAGCTGTGAGCACCACCCACCGACAGAAGGTCTTGAGCGCGCGCTGGATGATGCGGGCTGCCAGGTCCATCTGCTTCCACTGTCTCGTCGACGACACGATCTCCAGCTCCTTCCGCGTCGGGAACTGCTTTTTGAACTTCTCGTTCATTTGTTCTTGTAGCTAGGGGAAGCGGGCGTGGTTAACGGAGGTCGCCCGGCGCGGCCGAGCACCGCGGGCGACATGCGAGGGGCACCGGAGCATGCGTGACGGGCGCTGGGGTCCGGCGGCTCGGTGGGCGCCCGGCGGCGGCGCGACACACCACACCCTCACGCGTCACGCGTCACGGCATGCGGGCGAGTCGGACGTGTGTGACGGGAACGGCCTGTGGCAGGCACGGTCGCGACGCGGGTCGGTCGAACGCGGCGCGACTGGGCGCGGCGCGCGTTCGGCGCCGGGCCGGCGGGCAGACGCCGGCCGGCGCGACCGTGACTGCTGCCCCCGGGAGGCGGGCGGTTCCCCGTCACACACAGCGCTCGTTGACAGGGTGATCTCCATAGTGGTCAAATCTTTGACCGCCCTTGTTCACTGTCTGATACGGCCCGCTGCTCGTGCCAGATGCGCGCTCTGCAGTTATAACGTTTTTTTCTTAATCAACTTGGGATGCTGGTAAACGCAAAAAATTGAATTCGTTTTCAATGAATGTCTCACGTTTAGACAGCCAAGGCACATTTGATAAGGATGTCATTGAGAGCCCTTCGACAACCCTTCCCTGCGGCGCTTTAAATCTGCTCTCCAGCTCTTTAATCAACCAGGTTGTTTCTGACGTAAAGGACGAGAGGCAGACCTCTCAAGAACTCGTGATTGGACACTTGTTTGCGTCATTGTGTGCCAAGATCCATATCTGACTCGTTAACGTGGTCGAGAGAACCTCTCGGCAACCCTGCTAGTCTGAAAACCCTCGGAAACTGCAGGCGCATCGTGGTACGAGCGAATCGGGCGGAGGCGGCGACCGATGCCGGTCTGCCAGTCTCCCACGCTAACGGCAAACATGGGCGGTCAAAAGTTTGTACCTTATGGAACTCCTCCGTTTCTTCCACGTGGCCGAGCACATGCTTGGTGAGCGCGTGCAGGATGTCCAGGCAATGGATCTTGTCGCCCTTGGCTATGGGCAGGTTGAAGCTGACCAGCGCCACTGTGTTGGGCTTGGGAATGCCCAGTGGCGGATCCAGCGAGGCGATAAAGTCGGACAGCTGCGAGAAATTGATGAACTGGGTCGCGTGTGGATCGTATCTGCGAACACAGCGCCATCCCGAGCGTCAGGACATTGCGACTGCGGATGACGAAAGCTACGTGTGACACTAAGTCATAGTCTCGTATCATGGTAGAGTAACGTTGTGCTGGGTGCGTGGAGTGCTACCGACATGAAAACATGCAATGCGCACCTACGATTGTGCTTAGTCAGGGCATCACGCACTTTTGTTACACACTTCTGAATGCAGCGAGGGACTGACATCCATCATCTGCCACCATAATCCTGATCAGAATTATGCAGGAAATGCTGAACAACCATCGCAGGCCGCAGCAGACCTTGCGCCAGGCTCACTTGGCCCAGCGCACGTAGAACATCTCGAGGTCCTCCTCAACGATGCCGATCTCCTCTTCCTGGTGGGCTTGGTTGAAGTTCTCCAAGATCACGGCGATGTACATGTTGATCACGATCATGAAGTTGATGACGATGAAGGTGACGAAGTAGATGATGGCGAAGAGCGGCTGGCCGCAGTTGCCGTACGGCAAGTAGTCGCCGTTCTCAGCCCGCAGGTCCGGATCAGCAGTCCGGGGGCTGCGCCATCAGCGGGTCCAGCACGTCGTTCCAGCCGGCAGAGGTGATCAACCTGACATCGACAGAGGTCAAACAATGTCAAGGAGGCTAGCACATGTCAACAGGTCATCAAAATAGGTTATCGAAGCTCGACGGAATTCGAGCAATACCAACAGAGGTCAGAACAATCAACGAATGCTGGCAGAGGTGCACATAGTAAGCTGAGGTCAGTGGGGGGGGGGGGGCGGCCAAAGTCAGGGGCATTAGCAGAGCTCAGCTCGGTCGTCACTAGGATGTGCAGTATGCCTGAGGAGTGCAGAACGGAGGTCGGACATGTAGCAGTGGAAGTCGGCACATGTCGTAGGACGGCATGGACAAAGAACCTCTCCGAGAACGGAGAACATCATGACAGAAGAAGGTAGATCACAAAGTGACCGCAAAAAACCTTGGCAGGGGCGGAACCAGGGGGCGAGGATGGCGCCAATAGACCAGCATGCTATTTTGCAGAGAAGCGCCGCGGCGCTTTTTAGATTGGCTACGCTGAACACGCAGCGGGTGCAAAACGCTATCGTATGCAATATCTCTCGACGGCTTCGCCGCATATAGACTTGTTCAACCACAGGCACCATCAATCGGTAGGCAGCACACCAGTCACCTGAACAGAAGAATCATGCTGTTGCCGAATGTCTCGAAGTTCATGATGTCGTCGATGACGCCGCTGTGCTTGACGTTGGCGAACAGCGCGATGCCGATGATGGCGTAAATGAACATCACTAGGAACAGCAGGGCGCCGATGTTGAAGAGAGCAGGCAGCGAGACGATGAGAGCGAACAGCAGCTTCCTGATGCCCTTGGCCGCCTGCAGCGTTGGAGAGAGCTGAGTCAGCGCAGCTCACAGCTACAGTGCGTCGCGTCAGGCTGGCACCGACACAAGCTCGACCACAGGACGGATCTGCTGTGCTGGTCATTGCAGGGGACGATCAAACTAGGCTCTTGTAAATGCTATGATCTTTCTTTCATGTTTGTGTATAAGTTTTGAAGTATTTATGCGGTTTGTTTGTCAATACTTACGCAAGGTGGCTGCTGGCGACAAAAATTCCCCTAGATAGATTATATAACAAAACGAAGAGTGACATGGCGAAATGCACTGAGCTATGCCGTTCTTGCATTCAAAGAAAGAAATCGGCGTTTGTATGGTCTCGTATTCCTAACACTGACACTAATTCCTATTCCTAACACTAATTCCTATGGGGATGATACCAAAGTTTACGGCAGCGAGGTCCGCTGCCGAGAAAACTCTTTTCTTCTTTCATCTTCAAAAGAAGGCGGAATATGTGGCAAATGTAGTTGCACTGGAACACTTGCCTTGATTAGCCGCAGGATCCGACCTATCCTGAAGACGCGCACCACGCGCAACAGAGTGGGTGGGATGGGGAACTCTGTGTTTAAGTGTTCCGCTTCTATGACGAGGCTGAATATCGAAAGTCCGACCAGGATAAAGTCGAAAAGATTCCAGGGTACTGTGAAGTAATGCAGACGCAGCCCGATGATCTTCACCAGCGCCTCTGAGGAAGAAAGAACAAGCGATCAGAAGGTAGCTGTAGGGCACCTTGCTCGAGTCGGAAGGCTTTCAAGCATTTTGCGTTTTGTTGGTATCGCGCGAGTAATGCGTCGAGTTTACTTCGTTCTCTGTTGATTGGAGCGAAGCATCACCGCAGCGCAATACAAAACGCAACCGGGAATTCATCGGTCCAACCAGAGTCTAGGACCATTTATGGCAGTCAAACGTTTGTTCAACGCTAGTTTAGCCTTCTCGAGTGAGTTGAAAAGCCATATACCAGCCAGAGTGAAAGTTAGACAAGTTTATTTGACACTCCAATGCGAGAAGGGATCACATAATTGATCCTAACTGTCTTCGTTGGCGTTCAAAGTAGCACCCAAGGCAATAGAAACACTCTAGCACCTAAACATCTGTAATTATGCTATAGACGGTTCGAGTTTTAGCCCCAACGCGAGCGTGAAGTTCCAACGACTCACGACTTCCTGAGTTACAGGCCTCCAAAATTGGACGAAGAAACGGGGCTGTTCAATTACGCGGACATGAAAGGAGCCGGGGTAGTTCATCAGCTGCAGCATTTAATTCGGTCCGACAGAGGCATTTCAACTTGCGAAGGAACGCCAGCAGTATGGAATGCCATCCGTTCTAAAAGTTCTGAAGATGGCGCTGTAATGGCGCGCCGTGCTAGTGGACGGGGCCGGAATTAAGTCAAGCCATTGCCGTGCCATTTCAGCTTTCGGATATATTGCACGCAACGCGTTCGAGACTAGCCGCACTGTGGTAAGGTCATTCGATGGTACATTACTTTTTAACGACTGAACGCTGTCTGAATCGATCAGTAAAGGTTAAGATACGATTCAGCAGACAACTTTTTTTTGGCAGGGTGCATTATTTTCATTTTCCGACTAAGGTGTCAAATTTATATTTTCTACGTTGTATACAGAAGTCCAAACCACCAAGTTGAGAACAGCGCCGTTGATCATGCAAACTTTAACACCCCCGGGTGGCCGGCTAGATACCCTTCGCTCGGGTGGGGGGAGGTCAATTTGACCCCGCTGAGGTCTCGGGAACTAAGGTAAGCTAGATACACCAAATAAAAGATTTACTACAAGGTGCATTGACCTGTACGTGAACTCACTTAGGTCAACATTTGAGGTTCCTAGGGTCAACATTTGAGGTTCCATGACCTTTGGGTCGAATAAGGTCAAACAAGTCGAATTCCAGGTTGGTCTCCAAAGTGCACACAGAACATAGATAGCTGTATCTAAACAAAAATGCTCATTTAAGGTCAGTGATCTTGTTTGACATTTTGAAGGTCATGGTGACCAAAATCATACAAGACTGCTCTGAGTTTTGCATTTGAATAAGCCTTTGTGGCTTATTACGTGGTTACGCTAGGCAGTATGCTTCTAAAAACAAAATGTTGACCTGAACCATTTTAGACCAATGACCCGTTCGGACCTCTAAGAAGTCCATGGAAAATGTATAATGTGGTTCCTGCTACCAATAAATTCGAAATGAGCACCAGAAACTATCCCAGACAGTAAGCCCGAGAGTAATAAAACAGGTTGGTTTTGACCCTGATCTGACTTTCATACCTGACCTTAGGTCAACGTTATTTGCTCATTCAATATTTCTGGCGCCTAAGAAAGCATCTAAGAGATGTATGGCTTCGTCTTGCACTCCGCTGTTGCATCAGATTGAATGATTCACTAGAAATTGACTTCCCTGAAACCATGGCCTGACTTTGACCTGCCATTGGTCAGCGACCTTACAAGATGCATCTAAATTGTTGATACCAAACGATCCGCTATTCAATTGTCTACAGCTATGCAAAAGTTGGCGCGGCTACGCAGCATCGTTCGGAACCCACTCTGAAAAACCTTTGGGGAAGGGGGGATAATTTGATCCCCGCCCGAGCGCGTATTAATATTCCTTTGCCAAAACCACCGTAACCGGCGAACAAATATTTCAACACGTTGTGAATCTGACAGTACATCTAGAAAACAACGCTATAAAAGTGAGTGCTCCGCATCTCCATCGCGTTTTCAACTTATGCAGCCATTTTGAAAACGCAATACAAATTTGCATTTCACATTCATTCATTCATTCATCACATGGACATACAATGCAATTTACAGCCACGCCTTTTTCAGACTTCATACCCTCTCGTCTCTTTCTAAGCTTGAAATACGCGAACATGAGCATGCTTTTTCGCGCAGCCTACTTAAAGGCCACCCATACATATATGACGTCATAAGACGTCACGCAAATGCCGCCAACTCAATGGCCATTTATATTTTAGATTAAGACAAGTGTGACCATTAAATTATTAGTCCCTGGTTACACCAGCACAATTGGTGGCATCAAGGGACAGCAGTTGGCCTTCTGACAGTTTATTGCGTTGAATGCAAGTTTCGGACACGAATAACGCTTCGTGCTACGTACACAGACACGGGCTCAGACACAGACAGGTAATAACAGAACTTGGGCAGTGGTACTAGTCATCACTGAAATGTGACTGGAAATCAAATATCTTAAGAAAAGCGCCCTAACCGAGTATTTGAATGGAAGTAAAAAATACAAAATGACGGACAAGCACAAACACACCACAGGGTAAGACCAAAACACGCACACATAACGCTATTCGAGGTCAACAAACACGCACCAATTAACAAACCACCTTCTTAAAATATTCCATGGTGTAATCGAACGATGACGCATTGAAGAGCGTATTAACTTAAGAGTGAAATGTGTATCGCCTAGAGCAGGCTTTCGCACTTGAAAGCATACAAGCAAGCTTATTTCATCTTATGTATGCTGGCCTCAATATTGCGAAATGTGGAGCATCGCCTTTAACCAACACTCACCACTATATTCGTATTCCTGCCATCACCAGAGAGGATTATTGGGGGTTTCTGGGCGATGACAGGACGGATAACGTCACGTACCTACTTTGTATAGCTTTGCAAGACATCATTCAAGGCCGATCGTGGTGTGGCATATTTTCCTTCCAGTTCTATGGGATCGGGCTTAGAGACGAAGCCCCGCAACAATGCGTCATAACGCGTCCTGATTGCGACTATCAAGGCCTGCTCACCCAGTGAGAAGATGGTAGTGAAGAGGATGTTGAACAGCTCCAGAACGGAGGCCACTGAAGAAGGCTGTCCATAGTGCTCTATGCCCATGATGACCATGTTCAGGAAGATCATCACGAATATGGCTATCTCGAACCTGCCGGCAGCACGTCAAGCTCACGCTCGGCCACAGAAACATGAATTAATCTAGTAGGTCATTACGAGGCTTATCGGTTTCTAAAAATTTAACTTTCATCACACGGCCTCCGCACAGAAAAAAAATTGTGTGGGGAATGCTTGTTGTGTGATAGCAAAACGCATGCCAAAAGGCTGTACAGAAGAGGGACAATTCAATTAAGTTAAGAAAAACACAAACGATCTTGAAAAATACTCATTAGGGAACTTTGAAGCTAATTATTAGAAAAGCCCGTGCAGACCGATCATCAGCTACACCGACTCATAGAAGTTCTCACCTTCGAGAGACAGCAATGTCATAGAAGAGAGCGTGGTAGTGATTCAGAGGTCTCCTTATCACCTTCTGCGGCTTCTTTCGGCCCAACTTCTTCAGAGCAGTGTAGTAGTTCTTCTGGCTGTCCGTCAAGAACATCTCGAGGACACCACCTTCGTACTGAAGACCGGAAACCCGTTAATATGAAAGGAGCTTACACAAAACGCAAATGGTTAGACATGCTAAGCAGCGTGGAAGATACCATGCCCTCAAATATGAACAGGTCACCTCGACTGTCTGGAAATGTGACGATCTAAGCACTGGCTCATTCCTCCAAAAGTCTGTTCATTCTCAGTGGAGATAAAATGAGAGCTCTAAGCGGTGACATTTATGAACGGCATATTGACTCAAACCTCCTTCACAGCCTAGCACCTGGCACACCTTTTTCTTCAGCATATTGAAGTTGTCGATGATGACACCAATGAAGAGATTGAGCGTGAAGAAGCTTCCGCAGACTATGAAGACGACGAAGTAGATGTAGGCGTAGATGTTGGCCTCTCGAGCTGGCTGCAGCTCCACCCCTCTAGCGTCAACGGCGTCCGCCATCACCTCCATCCAGCCCTCGAATGTGGCCTGTGAAGCGCCAGTCCCACACGCTGACGCACGCGTCCTGCAACACGGCTGGGCCTGACAGCCACGTCAGACAACACGGCTGGGCCTGACAGCCACGTCAGACAACGCTCAGGTCACGAGTCTTGGCGTGATCCGAAATCCGTCGCTCTGTGCACGAGCCTCACCGGTCCGGGAAGTGTTCAGCGAAGTCGCGCAGACGCTGCAGGGATAGGTCAGACCTAAAAATGTCTTCTTGTTTAATCGTTCCAGAAGTAGTAAAACGTTATATCAAACAGTAGTTTTTCAACCCAAAACATTTTGAATAGCTGTAAGATGCCACTGCTGTGCTCTGCGTTCGGCCGGAACGCCGCTCGCTAAAACCACGGCAGTAACTGGCAGTGGTACCACTCAGGGCTCTCTTTCCATATCGCCCGTGCAAAGGCCACTGTTTTGCAAATAAGGCGGGATATTTCCCAGAGATTTAAACGAGCGAAACAGCACGAGAACTGAAGAACTCAGCCTCACACGCCGACGAGCACTGCTCGTGCTGGACTGCCCGCGTCTCGCACACCGCAAAATCGATTATTTGTGCCATCTGATCTCATTTTGCATGAACTATACCTTGGCGCTGCATCCCGAGTACGAGCACCAGGGACGCGATGTCTATTTGTTAATTCAGAACGGCCGCGACTGCCTACCGAAACGTGGCTACAGGATGTGTTTCACCATTAATCTGGGGAAGATAAAGTGATTCATAGCTTATATTGTGCGTGGCTTTTGGGGTGGGTGGTGGGAGGTTAGGAGCGTAACCAGAGCGCAACATTGGAGAAACGGGTTTTGGACAGCGTAGCGTTGCACTCAGGCGTAATGACAAATAATGCCGAGTTATCAACAAGAAAATGTTCTGGCATCGTCACCGGGAGATGGATTTTCCACGCAAAGTAACTGGAGCGCAAACAGGTGAAAATGCTGACCAGTGCGTAACGTAATTCATTCATTCTGATAAGCCGGCAACTGCCGTTTCGATGATAGGACTCTGGCTGAGGATGCCGTGATTGGCAGTTTCAGTCTGACACCTTGGTGGCAATCGAACCCGCCCCTCCCAAGTTCCCGTAACCTCTCCCCTGAAGGCCTTGCCCCTCTAGATTGCGCCTTTCGACTAGCCGGAATAGGAAGCCAATGCTACATGGTTGACGTCTTTTGACTCCAAACTAAGGTGACCTGAGCGTTTTATATATATTTTGTTTGTGGTGATCGCAGAAAACTCAGGAGACCATGGCGCACAAGAAGCCAGTCATCAAATCAAACGACACTGATCAAATTGCATGGTCATATGTGAGCAGCTCTGAACATGCATATGCATGTTATAGTAACACGGCGGAAATACCCCAAATAGCGATGAAATGGGAGTGACTTACGACTTGGAACAGGGCAAGATAGGCGATTCCCACGTGGTCGAAGGATATCTTGGAGTTGATCCAGGTGTAGTTGAGGTGGAAGCAGTCGTTGCGATCGTTGACCACCTGCGGAAGGAGGGCACTCGCCGCACGTCAGGGCCGGCAGCACGAGTGCACCTCCTCGTCAGCATGGTAGCCTACTGGGTATCGATGGGTTCATGGGCACTGTTTCACATAAGCATCCTAGTCGTGACCGTTGTCTGTTTATCGGGGTAAATTAAACATGCCGTTTCACTACGATCAGAGGCAGATACTTGGTCAGGCCACGCGAAGGTGTCGGCTGAAAAACCTCAAAGCGGGCAGACTAGCCTTGGTTTGCCATATCATTTTTGCAGCCAGTCTTGGTGAGGTCAGGGGCCCTCATATTTTGACAGGGTTTTGCACATATCACACTGGGTCATAAATCAGACGTGTGACTGGGTACCAAAGGAAGATACTAGGAGCCCTTGGCAAAAGTTCTCCGACCCCGGATTTCGGTATTTGTTTCCTTATAATCAAAGGATATCTGATGGCATGCGTAATAGACGATTCACGTCGATATAGTTTTATTTTGTCACGCAGCGTCCGGTTCTTACCTGAATAGGGAGTATGGCGCCCTCGGCATCCACGCATTTGTAGAACTGTCCGCTAAAGAACTGCACTCCCATGATGGAGAATATCAGCCAGAAGACCAGACACACCAACAGTACGTTGAAGATGGAGGGGATGGCGAACATGAGCGCGTTCACTACAATCTGAAACCGAGGAGAGGCACGCGGCGACCGTGCCGACGATTAGATGACGGCATTCGAGGTGACGTACAGTAAAGACACACTGTGCAGCTTGTAGCACGGATCAGTCCTTGGCCTAGCGTGGTTTTGAAGGATATTTGTGTGGCCGGGCGGTCCGCTCAGGGCTTTTGGACCCTTTGGCGATTATAATTTATGAAATAAAGAATGTAAGTTTCGAAAAGCTTTCGTACGTTTCAGTCCAGTAATTCTCCAAAGGACACTTAATTGCTATCTTCTTATTCGAAACGTGAAGTGCTTTCGGATAAGAATTTCTTAGCGCCGTGAACTTCTCGCGATCACGCGGCAAAACTGCGCTGCTTGTGTGCCTTATTATCCAACATATACCAGCTTTGCAACAAACACAGTAGATCCTACAAAAAATTGCGGAAGGTAAAACATTTGGCCCCTTGGATATCTGGGGCGATCGGACTGTGATGTAGGCTTACACCATTGGAGACGATGAATCCCAAATGCTTCGCAGTTAACCATGGTGAGACTCGACATAGGTGCACAGCACACTTGTCAGAGTTTGTGTACGGAATGTCAAGTTCGTGAGCCACCGGCTTCTATTGAGTGTTGGCTGCTTCCGTGAGGCGTGATGACAGCTTTCCGGCCCACGCCGTCGCACCAGCGACGGCTCCAGTCAGGGGCGCAGCCAGAGCCTTGGCAAGGGGGCACAGGGTTGACAAAGGATCCCCTAATATTGAATGGCAACTTCCCAAAGAATCCGCTGGATATGGCCTTATTGTTAATGAAGGCATGTTTTGTTTGTTATTTTTCTTTTTGTTATCTTTGCTATTTTTTTGTTTGTTATCTTTACCTTCTATTAATGGAACAAAAGCCAGAAACACCCGCGACATTAATTCTGTCAGAATTTTGTAGTCAACCAAACTGCACGCTGAATACATCATATCACATTGGTCCCCTCCCTAACTTAACGGGCCTTCTGATCCGCAGGTTTGGCCCCGGTCCTCATGCCCTTCAACCTGGCCCTTGATCGTAGGTTCCCGGATGCCGCCCGCGGCCTCTCTTCAGACCTTATCAAACACTGCCCTTGGTCGTCTCGGGTCCCCTTACGAATCCAGGACCCTCTGTCAGGCGATGTGAGCCCCTGAATGATACAGGGGCACCGACCTGCGTAAATCACTGGCCCCGGCTTTATAGCTGATTGGGGAGTGGGCCCTGCGGCCCATACGGGCATGGAACCCACTGTATATATAAGCCCCCACCAAATAAGGAGGCCCCTGATCAGCACGCGAAGCTCTCTGACTGGCATTGAAGTGCCCAGCCCTGCGGACCGAGACCCCGTAAATGCGACCTCTTTCCAGTCCTTTCGGCCCTCCGGACTCTTAAATCCGGCTTTACTCGTGGGTCCCGAGGACCCCAAAGGGCCGCTCGAAACCTAAGAAGGGAGGAGGGAAGCTATGTGCCCCCTGTGTCCCTGCCTGCGTCCCTGACTCCAGTCTATCACGCCGCCCCTCCCGTGCATTATCGCACTCCCGTGTACATGACCGGCGCAGACGAATCAGTGAGCTTTGCGTGGAACCACTCAGTGCTGTTGACTCGTGTGTATGTCATCTGTAGAAAAAAGGTGGAATGCTGGAGGTAAAAGCAAAAGCACTTTAATGCCAAGTGCTCTTTCAGATAATATTAAGCGTATGATTATTATGCAATATAGTTGCAGTCATACCATATGATACATATATATATATATATATATATATATATATATATATATATATATATATATATATATATATATGTATATATATATGTGTGTGTGTGTGTGTACCGTATATGCATGCATATATATTATGTACCATATCATATATGTATGTACATGTTGCACATATATTTATATATAATATCAATATTTGATCATACGATAAAATATTGTCAAATATGATATTAAATATGATGTTGCATTGTGGCGTATTCTTCTTGAAACTGCCGTAAACATGAGGAGGACCGGCGTTTCTTCATTATGTCTGCACCACTGTTAACCATGCCGTCATGTGTCCCACCTACCGTGACGTCTCTCAGACATGCGTGACACGCCCCCACCATGCCGGTCGCAGTGAGCGCATGCACGATAAACCTGTGTCTCGTGCAGGGGTCGCGCCGAGTGACCGCAGCGAGCGGTACCGCCCTATGGCCGGTCGCCGCCCGCCGTCGGCGGCCAGGACCTGGCCCGGCCAGCCGGCGGCCGGCGACGGCACGGACCGGAGATCGTCCCACGTGCTGGCGTCAGACCAGAGCAGCCCCGCGCGCCCCGCCAGTCGCGCCGCCCCGCGGCCGCCGGCCAAAGCTCAGAAGCGCGCCGGTCGCCCGGATTGGCTGCAATGCCAGCGTGAAGGCGCCGCCATTGGCCGGCGACCGCTGCTGTCAGGCTCGGCATTGGCGCGGAAGGCGGATGACGATGGTGGCGCCGCCCTAGCGGCGACCGCGCGGGGCTGCGCCGCCCGGTCCGACCCAGCACAATTACCTTCATTCCTTGCCACCTAGAGATAGCCCGGAGCGGTCGGAGGGCGCGCAGAGTTCGCAGCGAACGCAGCGCGACCAGGGTCTCGTTCTCCTCTATGGCAAGGCTGAAGATGGACGCCTGGGGCCAAAGGTCACACATGACCGCAAGGAAACCAGAGCGGCCAGCGTCACCTCGGACCAACCACGTGATCAAGACAAGACAGTGCAGTTGTATGCAGACAGAAAATGGTTACCCCGCCAGAGAGAAAAGGACAGAAGAGCTGATGGCATGCATCACAAACCAGCAGCCGGTATACACGAAGCTCAGCTCAGCCGAACCACTGGACTGGACCTCCTGGAAGCTCAGGAGCCTTAGCACGCGATCACAGGTGGTGGCTGATCATCCTGATACGTGCGATCAAAAGCTTGCAAAGGCTTTGCCTCCTGAGCTTTGACCTTCATCTTCAGCAACAGGGCGGCGCTAGCGTGCTCTGAGACTCTCAACCTCGCGAAGTGGCCCGATTTTCCGCGACCGCGAGTCCTCTCATTCAATCGACTGAGCCTCCAGCCGAATTGCCACCGGCGGCCAGTCTAACTCCCCGACGGGCCGCGCGTCAGCAGCGGCGCCACCGTCGGTCACGCCGACGGGGCGTCAGACGACTCCCGGGGGCCGGAAATTTAGGCTGGCGCCGGCAGCGTGCCTGGCCGCGGCGGCTATGTGGGGGCGGGCGGCGCCCAGACCGGAGGTGGGCAGCCATGCCACGTCGTCTGGCCGGTCAGTGGACGAGTGGCCCGCCGTCCTAATGCTTGAATAAGGATACCGGGCTTGGAAATTGACGGCCGTTAGTGCTGACAATAAATGGCGTCGGGCTCATCGCGTAAGCTACCTCTGTCAGACGTGGACGCTGTGGAAGGGAATTGTTCGGCCGGGGCGATGTAGAGAGTATTCATGGAGGCGGCTGGGGGGGGGGGGGGGGGGGATGGAAGCTGTGTGTGGACCACGGTTGATCACTGAACGTCACACCTCCGGTGTGATTCAGATGCACTGTCAGCTGCCAACGATGGGAGGCTGTCCGACCAGCTGTGTCAGCTGACGATCATGGCGATCGTTAGCTGACACTGACACAATGGCTGGGATTTCCCGCGGCCGCTTCGCAACAGGAGCCTGACAGATCGGGCATCGCATTAGTCGGGTGACACCCAAGCCTCGCCGTCGCAGCAGTAGGCTTTTAGTGCAGCTCGATACCGAGCCGGTCTAAAATAGGAACGTAACCCTGATTAAATCTGACCAGCAACCCCGCACAATGGACTCACTGGAGTGGATACACAAGAGAGTGGGCCGCAGGATCTTCGCGGAAATCGCATTTGCTGAATATAGCCATCAGTCTGCAAATGGTAGGTAGTCACAGCTCAATGACTGAGGCTCTGAGGGACGAGGCTACCTTACCACGACTATGATGAAGTCCAGTATGGTCCACGCGTTGGTGTAGTATTTCTTCAGGCCGAAGGCGATCCACTTCAGAACCATTTCCACGGTAAAGAGAGACGCAAACACCAGGTTTGCCCAGCGCAGGTAGTACTTGAGCTGCGGCTTCTGATACAGATACTTGTCCTCAAAGCACAGCGCAATGCTGGACGCTATGATCATCACTAACACTACCCACTCAAAGTACGAGTTGTCCACGAAGCGCATCACCAGGGTCCGAAACCGGAACCACGTCCGGAACCACGGTGTCCGCGAGAGCGCGTCACAGCAGGGGAATCTGAAACAGGCGACGGCAGATGAGACCGGCCCGGCGAGGCGCAGCCGGGGACGACGGCGGAGCACCTAATCCCGCTACAACGACGTGGCGGCGAGCGGAGCCGGCGTTTTCTAATCACCGCATCCAGGACGCAGCTCGCCAGCTCGACGACATTTCCCAGCCCATTTGCATGATGCGTTCTCCGGGGACTGATACGATCTTGTGGTTGTTCACTGAATCATAAGTAATGCGCCGAGGATAAATCCGTCGAAGGTGAAAAAGCGCTGGGCGAAGCATGACACAGACAGGCATGTCGCCTTATGTGGAACAACAGTCCCTTGTAAAAATTATGGGTTCGGTGTTGCGCTCTTGCGTCTTGACTTTCGGCAACGAGTAAATAAACCATTTCATTCGCAATCAATCGTTACCGTACCACCCGAAATAAAATGAATGGAGCAAAGCCATACATTGAGCAAAAACCATGGAAGTTAACTGCATGAAGGCCAATGATGTCTGGCCTTTAGGGAAGTTTTTCCTGTGACTATGCCATGAAGCTGCATGCCAAATATGCGTGCTCATTAACCAAATGATATAAAGCCGTTGTGATCCGACAGGTTAGTCTAAACCATGACACATCTAAAAGACAGGGTAGGCTAAGGAACGCACCACCCCTACAGACTGATTGATCACACACATGGTCCATGTTGCTGCAGCTCATCTGCTTTCAGAGGTGCAGAGCCCTCACTCATTCTGCTATCTAATTTGAACACCCAGACATTAAATGAACACTTTTTCAGGACAGCCTTAGCCTCGTCGTTTAAGCTCATCCCAACTTCGCCTAATGGAATACGGTTTACAGCCTTCTGGCTCACTCAAGAGGTATAAATGCCTCTACTGTGCAAGCTCTAGGACCCCTTGATGATGGTCCTCATAGAGCGAATAAACATTTGCAGTAGTATCTATCTAACTTTAAGTCATCCCACTTGTAATATGACCTGCATATCGGCTCAGGTTTGTGTTCTAAATCCCACCTACTCACTTCGCCTCAGCTTCTCTGGATTTACATTTCTCCCATTCCCCAGCACTTGCCATCTGTCTCACCCTTGACTTCCGACTGCCACTCCACACCCCCCCCCCCCCTCCCCCCTCCTCTCCTCAGCTTCGTGAGCGGCTCTCCAAACCCACTCTCGTTCGCTCCACAGTCACCGCCACGCGCGGCTCGTTCGTTGGCCGGTGCCGGCCGCCTGTCGGGCGGCACTGGCTGAATCTTGGCTAGAGCTCCTCAGGTGGTGGTCGTGGGAAGCGCGGGGGCGGAATTCGCGCAAGCGACTTATACGTTAAATCGGAAGGTTGGTAACGACTCACTCGTTACAACAGGAGCTCGGTGGTGATCGCCCGTTATGACAAGAGGTCAGAAGCGACTCACCCGTAAAAGTATGAAAGCGATAGAGACTCATCGGCTGTAGTAAAAGGTCAGTAGTGATTAACTCGTTACAAGAGGAGGCTATGGCAATTTACTTGTCACAGCGAGGCCAACGTAGCTCACTCGGCACAGCAGGAGGCCAGCGCGACTCACTCGTTATAGCAGGAGGTCGGCAGACAGTCGTGTGGCACGCGGCGCTCCTGCTCGGCCTCCTGGCCCTCGGCCGGCGGCTCGGCGCGCACCTCGGTCGGGTCGCGGCCACGCAGGCTCTCCACATACATGGCCAGCGTCGACCAGTTGGAGACGGTCGACGGGCTCTTGTAGACGCCGGGCTGCGTGGGCGGCGCGAGTCGCGCGCCCGGCGGGCCCGCCTCTGAGAGCGGCGATGACGACGGTGAGGAGAAGGGCTCTGGACGGGCCGGCGGAGAGACGGCGGTTAGCGGCGGCATGCGAGCGCAGGCCGGCCTCACTACGACACCGCGGCCGGGTCGGGCCGGGGCCCGCGCCCGCACCACGGCACGGAGAGGCAAGCATGAGACGGAGACGGAGACGGAAGCGGCGCGGGGCAGGCGGACCGCGCCAGCGCGACAGAGCAGGCGACAGCTCGGCGTTACGGAGCTGAAGCAGCGGCCGAAGAGGCGGAAAACTGCATGCAGGTTGGCTAGATCGAAGAGCTTGCGGCCAAAAGGCACAGGCCTGCAGAGTAGGCCAGACGGCAAAAGCCCGATTTGGAAAAAAACTATGACACCGACATCGGCAGACCTCGACAGACCATTCACAGCTGGACAAAACGCCCGTTATGAGCAAACACCTACACTGACAGGCTGTTGATCAACAAAAAGCCTCATCTTTAACAATGGCATGACGCAGATGACGACATGTATGCACAGCATGAAGCTCATGTTAAAAATCTGGGTAGCAAAATTACCACGAGGACATGGCCATTGGACGTCTTTCTGCACACTTCACGAACATGTGAGATCTAAACATCACATGCATAATTACACAATGAACATTGGCGGTGCTATCATTTTCCACAGCCTTATGGTCCATTCGACTACTCGGGATGATTTCATTATTTCATTTTTCATGTATGGAGTTTTTAGGCCTAAATTAAGTGATGGTTGTTCAAACCGCACTATTCATGTGCGCATTTGTCAGTGCCGTACGCAGAATTTCACAGGGGATCACAAAAAAATCACTGAAACCGAGTTCAGCGCGTCGCAGAAACGCGCAGTTTCTTGCACAACGCAAAATAACATCGCATCTTTCCGATATAATGATTACTTTTAGCGTGCCGATAAAGTAATGGTTGACGCGCCTCGTTAACCACTGCGTGTTTGGAAAACCAGAGGTACGGGCTCAATTATCCGCGGTGCACACCCTTCCTGCCAGGGTGAGAGGCAGGCGACGGCACACAGCATCGCCAGCTGAATCCGTCGTATCGCCCCCCCCCCCCCCCCCTCTATCCCTGGACGATGAAGACAATCGTAATTTTGCCACGTGCCAATGTTGAGTAAAACAACGAGAAGTATCCACGCATTTATCAATATATGCCCAAATTTGGTAACGGAAGCGGACACGTGTACCTGGGGTCCATTATGTGCCTACGCCCCCAATCTTTGTTGCAACAATAGTTTTAGTTGAAAACGCATTTCTTGGCGTTTCTTGGGAGTGCTTCATTCGTGTAGTATTCAGGTTTTGTGTCTCTGCTGATTTTGATATATTTTGTGGCAAATATTCAGCTGGACTGTATAGACACCATTGATAACGATTGAATAGTTTTCGCGAACCGATCAGAATAGTCGAGCGACTGGCTTCCTCGGTAAGGACAGAACTGGAAACTTCTCCAAATATAACCGAACTCCAGAACCGGGACCTAATCAGTGTCTTTCAAGTACATGCGTTCTGATGTTTTTTGACATGCTGAATCCAGCGGCGAGCTGCCTTCCCGGGACCAGCTTGTTGTTTGCATCATGGCGTTTTACCGCTAGATTAGTAGCCTGCTTTAGCACATGCACACGGCTCATGAAATAACGACGCCTTGAAAAAGGCAATTTTGTTTTTCTGGCGAAAAGGGAAAATCGATTGAGCCAAGAGAATATGTCGAAATTATTCACACATTAAGCTCAAACGCGGGTTTCCGGTTGCGCCAATTCATTCAAATTTTGCATTACTTTCACTTATGCTAGTCAACAATCTCTCGATAACATTGACAAATGACACAACAATCAGCAGACATTACATGCCCCACAACAGCAACTATTACGTAAGTTCCGTCAGCTCCATGCTCGAAAGCGTGCCATGACAAAGCAGCATTTTTTACCACCAACACCAATTCACATTAATCATCAAAATTCACTGAACGATCCGCACACAACTCAGCTTGGTACCGACAACGGTACCGTAACCAGCCCACATCGGGGACCTTGTAGCCGCCAGCCGACAAAGCTGTGTGTGACACCGCCGCCGGCGCCCCGCACCCGTCACTGACCTGCCGCCATCTGCTTGTAGCCGGCCTGCAGCGGGTCGGAGCTGTCCGAGAGCAGGTCCGTCTCGTCGAGCGTGCGCCGGATCTCGGGCACCGAGAACGAGACGGGCAGCGGCTGCGGCGCGAGCGGCGGCAGGAAACGGCCGGCCGGCTCGGCGCCGTCCGCCTTGGCCGCCCGCCTCCGGCCAGCCTCCTGGAAGGCGCGCACGGCCTCGTCGCGCCTGTCGCCGCGGCTGCGGATGTAGCCCTTGAGCCGCTGCACACTCTGCACTAGCTTCGACTTGCCCTTGGCCTCCTGGGAAGCCGGCCACACGAGTCAGTCCATTACGCCCGCCCGGTTCGTTAAGCGGCGGGTAGATTAACGGGCCCCGGCGCGGTGTCAGTGGGACGGTGGCGTGTGTCCTATTAAGGACTCGCCCGGAAATTGATGACGCCGGCGCGACACCTCCGACTGAGGCGGACCGGAAGTGTCCCGGCGGCTCCCCCGCCCTCCCATCAATTATGTTAATGTGGGGTTGAGCTCGGGGCTCAACTGGTGATGCACTGCCGACGCTGCTGACATTTCGCTACTGCGGCCGCGCGAACGCACCGCCGGCCACCCGGCCGCCACGCAGATTTTACCAGCCGACACGGCACTGCTTGAGGGATTTAAAGACGGGATATGACTGGAGGAAACGGCCGTGAAACCCAGCTGAAGTCATGCACGTGGTTCGAAGAGGCCAAAGTTTGTAGGTCTTGAGATCTGGTTATAGCATATTGCAGCGTATTTAGCCTCACCCCTCCACAAAACGGGTTCGAAACCTTGATTGTTCAGATTTCATCAGATCCTTGAAGGAAGATATCCTGGAAACAATGCCTGCAGTGGCAACCATTTCGAGACAAGTCATCCATACGCATTAGCAACACTCGCAGCAAATAACGTGCACATCCCTGATACATGACTACAAAAGGGAAAAGAAGAAATGTGAGAGGTAAGATAGAGATGGAGGAAGAAGACTATTGTACGCAAGCACCTGGGAAGCATCCAAGGCTCGTGAGCCTGATAAAACCTGCGAGGAAAGCATTCGGAGCAAAACATTCTCTGACGTGCTCACAAGCACGTCAGAGATGGGGGCTTCTCTGTTAAAGGAACAGCCCACCAAGTCCACACACCCCACTCCTGTAGTGACAAACTGGTGGAAAGACAGCGCAGAACACTGGTCTCCGACCTCCCCCTTTGCTCTCCACAACATCGTCTCTACAGACGAGTTAGTTCCTCCGCGCCCAGAGCCGGACTCTCCACACCGAAAACCAGAGCCTCTCGAGGGCATATGAGGCGGTGCGAAAGCGCACTCGAGGACGCGAGAGAGGCGTCGGGGGCGCGAGCCGCTCCGGGACGACAGCTACTTGAGAGCGAGCGCGGCGCCAGATCGCCAGCAGATCGCCGAGGCCGAACGGGCACGTCAGCTGGGTCAGCCCGCGTCGAGCCGGGCTGCCGACGCCGCTACCTCCTGCCGCAGCAGGCCCGCCAGCTCCTCCGGCTTTGAGAGGCCCCGGAGGCCCGCGAGGCCGGGCAGGGCCAGTAGCTCCGACTGCCCCAGTGACGAGGCAGAGCCGGAGGCCACGCCTCCGCCCATCGGCTTTCCGCGCTTAACCTGGCCCGAGGCGGAGGATCTGGCTCTGGTCGCCGGGCCGGCCTGCTGGGTCCCGGGCTGGTCCCGCCGGGCGCCGGGCTGGTCCCGCCGGGTTCCGGTCCGGTCCAGCCAGGTCCCGAACTAGTCCCGCCGGGCCCGGGCCAGTTCTGACGGGTCCCGGGCCGGGCCCACCGGGACTAGGACCGATCCCGCCGGCACTAGGGCCGGTCCCGCCGGGACTAGGGCCGATCCCGCTGGGTCCCGCGAGCGGTGGTGTGTCGGCTGGCCCGGGCCACACCAGCCGGCTGCAGCAATGCGCCCCGCAGGCCGCGGACGCCGCAGGCGTCAGCAGAGGAATCGATACAGGCAACAGCGTCTAGTGCGTGCTCACCCTGGGGACACAGGGCGTGCGGCACGCACCACAGCCAGGCATCGCAAGCAACGCGCCCCGCAAGCGCGGCGGGACCAGCCAGACTTCGCCCGTAGATCACAGCAGGCCAGATGGAGACGGAAGGCAGGCGGCCCGGCCAAACCGCGCCCGTAATCCGCGGACGGACGCGGCGCCATATCTGGCTATCACGCCACAACGCTCCAAAATTGGTGGTGATGAGCCTGCAATTTATCTTATCAATCTGCGCAGTTCAAGAGCGGTGTCCATGGCGCAGGGGAAAGGGGTCAAACCCTCGGCGCAGGACAGGAAAGTTGCCAGAGTTTCTGATTTACTATTCCGACTGCGCAGCTTGAGATTGCTTATGATTTTTTCGGTGGAAGCATTTTGTAATTGTCCACGGCTTGCTCCCGTGCGTTTGGTCGTCTTACTCGTGTTGCCCTGAACCAAAGACCGGAATCGACGGCCAGCGCTACACGCACACGCGCACACGAGTCGTGGAGCGACACACGGCTGTCTGACTGCGCATAACTGAATAATCGGATTCCGGACGCCTGGGGGAGACGCAGAGCTGCAGCAGGAGTACACGTATGGCTTTTTCAACGTTCAGGCTTACATAAAAGAACGAAGTATTGACCGCAGCAAAATGATCCTCAACAACTACAGCATATGAATGATCTGTGCACAGGAAGAGCTGGCCACGGCTGGTACGGGTAGGCTCGGTTAGTTCATTTTCAGATTATATAGATGTATATATATATATATATATATATATATATATATACTCGAGAGAGGGATATATATATATATATGTCATATAGATGTACATACATATATATATATATATATATATATATATATATATCCCTCTCTCCAGTTATCCCTTCCGCTTATGGAAGCATCAACACCCAGAGTAAGCGGGCTGGGTTTATATCGCGTTTTCAGAAATTTACCGCATTCAAAGTGCATGTAGAACCGACAGTCATCTGTCACCAGATGAAGCGCTACGCAAAATGCAAAACGCAAGATGCAAAGCCCGTTCAAATGAACATTTTTCGTTTCCTCCTCTTCCAAACTCTTCGCACATACGACTGCGTATGCAAGGTAATTAAAAGCTGTATTTAAATCACCTGGTTAGCTTTCATCTGATAATGTTTCACAGACAATGGAAACTGGCAAAGATGTTGATGACAATAGATCATCTCTCTTACATCTGGAATATCGCTGTCGATGAAGTCTTTCAGAAGCCTCATGAACTGACCCGATCAAATGTAGGAGTCCAGAGTTCGCATGTACAACGCAGGTGCAAAGCATTTTAGCGTTCTGAGACCAGTGAGTGTGTTAATACATAGTTATATCCGTGACCAAGGCTATGTAAGCCAACCAGCACGTTTATACGTAATTATGTCCGTTATTGAATTTCCAAAGAGGTGCTGTTCACGCAACTATTTATTTCCCGGATAATCTTTGCAAGGGAAAAAAGCAAAAGGAGAGCGAGTTTTATAAAAATAATCATATAAGGATCGGGAACGTCGAAGCACGCGCCATACATCAATCTACTAGAACATGCAATGGTTTCCAAAAGTCGCGATACATAGTGCGTGACCGGTGTCAGCACACATCTAACTATTACCACCCATTGTGTGCGAACAAGTGTTCATGACTTCACATAAGTTTAAAGGACCTAGCAGTATTTCTAACTATTTCGACCACATGTGTGATGTCTCAGTTTGGTTGGCACAACTTTCTGAGAGGCAATCAAACCTGGCAAAATTACAGCTTCAATTCATGATGCCTGCACAAGTGTAAGCGGCCATTGAATCAAATGGAATCAAATGGGCTTTCAAATAGACCATCACAAACTACGGTATGAAAAGTTTCCCTAGAATGTTGATCTCCACAGCGTCGACTTTCGACTGAAAACGAAAACTACGATCTCGCAATCTTGTGCATTCTGGAAGCAATATAAACAAACGCATGCCGAGAATGCTGAAGTCCCACTGACACTACCTAACTACATTCCGAAGTCTCCACTGTCGCATTCAACATACCTCATCCTCCTAGACAACGGGATACAAAACGAGCACAGGTGAATACACTGCTGAGCACTGCAGCAGTGCAGCAGTAGATTTGCTGCATTGTTACTGCTACTGACAGTTTACTGAACTTCGCCGCCAGATACGGCCACAGAAGAGACGATCACGAAACCACACGACCTCCTTTACCACCTTCAAAGTCATCCTTTGGGCCAGTGCGGGCACCACAGGTCGAGGTCGTCCGGAGGTGGGGGTCATGTCAGTGAGTGAGGTCACCCCGTACTGTGTTCAGGTGAGATCGCTGGCGCTCCTGCGGCGGCCCAACGAAACGGCGTAGGGGAAAGAGGTCCCAGAAGGTCTGAACGGGTTTCCTTCTGAGGCCGTGAATGAAAACCGACAACCGATCGTCACGAAGTGCAAGAAAACCACGGGGCCCCGGGACGTCAGGATGCAACGGTGAGGCTCTAGGCATCCTATGGCGGTGTTGTGGCTCAGGAATTGACGTTTTATGGGCTTAGCTGACGTCATGGTGTCAATGATAACAGAGAAGCGCGATTGCGGACTGAGAACTCGGGTTCCTTTGCAGGCAATTTAGCATCACGCAGTGTGCCCCTCAAAGCTGCAGGCAATCGCTGTATCTGTCTCCAATTCTCCTTTTTTTCAGCCGGTTTACCTTCGTCGTGCCCATATGTCGAAACGTCATGCAGAATGACGATATGACGTCACGTCATATCGCTGAATAAACGTCGCACTTGTAAGCAGAAGACTAGAATTGAGTGAACAACGGCTTTCAGCAACCACTAAAACCGACAGATAGCGTATATAAACCAGTTCACTGGGTGAAGGAGTGAGATATGTCGGGAGTGATGAACGAGCCACCACAGCGACCGCTGCCAGAAGCACCGTCCGACTGGCGCGTTTCAAACGCCTCAGTTTCAACAGCATGTTAAGAATGCTGTGAACTCACCTAGGACGCCAAAGTGCACGCCACAAACTAACTTTGAAATAATCGCATACCTCTTTTCTGCTCCTCAGCTCCTCGCAGTTAAAGCTGTTGAGCAGCAGAGCCAGGAACAGGTTGAGGACCAGAAAGTTGCCCATTACCAGTGCCGGGAGGAAGACTGCAAGGCACATCTCCGACTGAAAACACAACGGTTTCAGTTATTGCCAGCAACGATCCATCGATCAAATTGGAACTTGCAGCACGCGGTACTGTGGTGTAGGAACAGCGTGCATTGCCTACACGAAAAAGTATAACATTAATTAAGGTGCTACGCATTCTGTCCGAAAGAAGTAATGCGCATAACTTATGACTTAACTTGATAAAAGTGATACTGCACTTACTAAAGCCCAAGCAATCTGTACGTGATGTCTCTTTCAAATCCCCGCAGAAAATCATCAATGTCCGCTCTAAGATTTCCGTGACGCATTCATGGCGGAAGCCTAGCCAACCAAAGTAGCGCAAACTCTGCAAACTGAAGCGCTCAGAACGCATGGTTTATGGGGCGCGCTCGGTGACGGCGTACCTCGTCTCCCTTCGCCCTCATGCAATCCCACAGCGGCTCAATCCACTCGCCGCACAGGATCCGGAATATCATCATAAACGAGTGGAAAAAGTCATCAAAGTTCCATCTGAAACGAGAGCAGATTATCTGAGAGTCAAGCCGGTCGCCGGCTGCCGCGGCTATTACGAGCGCGGCGACGTGGCGGCTCTGGTACGGCGCACGTTAGCCATGGCACGCCCCAGCTCCCGGCGGGGGGGGGGGGGGGGGGGCAGGAGGTGGCCCAGCAACATGACCCGCGGCGCGCGGCGACAGAGAGGCTGACGCAGCGGCAACAATGCGTTATTGGGTGCTCGCAAATGAGGGCGATTCGTCATTCTGCCGCAGTGGAGTACGGTTGGCATAGCTGGCGCGGCGCAGTTTGGGCCGGTTGCGCTTGAGATAAACGCATGTTCAACTGATGGAACAAAAAGGACCATATTGCAGAAGAAGAGATATTAGGATGCATATGTCCTGGCAGCAGGACACTTGACATCATCAGCCGAAGCCGCTAATGCCCTTTTCGAGACCACCAAGACCGAGGTCGGTGAGCTTTACATGCGGCCTGGCACCGGCCTCCGAATGCATTCCTTGGCAGTGACAAGAGCGACCTACCTCGGCACCGGGTCAGGCCCGAACACGCTGGCTGTGTAGCTGGTGGAGAATAGCTGCATGCCGATGACGGCGAAGATGTAAATGACGATGACGAGCACGAACGTCAGGTTGCCGAGTGCGCCCAGGGACGAGATGATGATGCTCAGCAGGACCCGCATGGTCGTCCAGGACTGCGCCAGCTTCAGCACCCGCAGCTGCAATGATATTTAGCTTCAGCACCCGCAGCTGCACCAGACATCAATGGCGCCGCCGACCATCAGCCCTCACTGACGCCACCGACGCCGAGGGCGACACCGGCCGACCAGCCGTCACTGGTACCGCCGACGCCGAGGGCGACACCGGCCGACCAGCCGTCACTGGTGCCGCCGACGCCGAGGGCGATACCGGCCGGCACGGCAGCGAAGGGACACTGCAGGATGTGCGCCCGAGGATGGGCCGACCGGCCAGTGGCGTCGGCCACCGCCCCGTGAGTACGCCCAGCCGCCACCCCCACAGCTGCAGTCCCGGTCAACTGAAGCGTGCCCGGCGTAACAGCACGGCAGCGCTCTGCCGTACACTGTCCCTGGTGTAACAACACGGCAGCGCTCTGCCGTACACTGTCCCTGGCGTGACAGCACGGCAGTGCTCTGCCGTACACTGTCCCTGGCGTAACAGCACGGCAGCGCTCTGCCGTACACTGTCCCTGGCGTAACAGCACGGCAGCGCTCTGCCGTACACTGTCCCTGGCGTAACAGCACGGCAGTGCTCTGCCGTACACTGTCCCTGGCGTAACAGCACGGCAGCGCTCTGCCGTACACTGTCCCTGGCGTAACAGCACGGCAGCGCTCTGCCGTACACTGTCCCTGGCGTAACAGTACCGCGGTGCTCTGCCGTACACTGTCCCTGGCGTAACAGCACCGCAGTGCTCTGCCGTACACTGTCCCTGGCGTAACAGCACCGCAGTGCTCTGCCGTACACTGTCCCTGGCGTAACAGCACCGCAGTGCTCTGCCGTACACTGTCCCTGGCGTAACAGCACCGCAGTGCTCTGCCGTACATTGTCCCTGGCGTAACAGTACCGCGGCACTCTCCCGTACATTGTCCCTGGCGTAACAGTACCGTGGTGCTCTCCCGTATATTGTCCCTGACGTAACAGCACCGCGGTGCTCTCCCGTACAATGTCCCTGGCGTAACAGCACCGCGGTGCTCGCCCGTGTACTGTCCGTGACCACGTCTCCGGCACTGCAGCGCCTTGCGCGCTGTTCGTGATCGTTAAAGAGGCTGCCTCGCCCTCTGAACAACAAGCGGACACTGATTGTAATGCCAACATATAAGCGTGATGTTTGTCTTTTTAAGCGGATTTATCAACTAAGTGCTTTCAGATACACCATATGCATTGGTTTCCTATGGCCATGGCCGTTGATTATATCAAAGTCGTGATTGCTGTTTCCTACGGAGTTATTCTCGAGTACATCAGTTTTTTTTTGCTGTGTCTTGAATGAACCCCTAGCTATTTCTGATTGCTTTCAACTATATCTTTTAGTGCCAGGAAGCATTAATGATGGTTTTCAAGACGTGGCATCGCTAATGGCGAGTTAATGCTGTCATGTCAACAGCATGACAGCGGTACCTGTGAATTACGCATCCCTTTGGTTACGTTTGATTTTTTGGTCTATCGAGCAGGTTTCACATTTCCTAGCTGAAAGTGTGGCGGCCTTAAACGTGTTAGTGATTCATGCCAGTGTTAACGTCAGGTTCTGTGTGCCTTAACGTAAGGTTCTATGTGTCGCGGTGCACTGGAGTGGACTTCGCTAGTTGCCTGTCAATGGGTGACGTGAAGGAAAAACAGTATTCCACGGGCCCAAAAGACATAAAGAAATATCTCAGAAGGTTTTCGGCATTTGGGTTGAAAGCGAATATACAAGAGTATCCTTCCTCACAGCCTATGCGCATTTGCAGCAGATGTCTCTAACTGGCTAAACCAGATGAGGCCAGACATGTCGGGACGCAATGCTGCCAAGATGATGCTTGAGCGCTATGGATACTACCAATCGTCGCTGATGCGACTGTGCTCAACATCCGTGGCTATGCTCTCCAAGCGCGCAGCACGCGGCACTGGGGATGGGGGATGGGAGCGGAAGCGTCACGTGTCGGTTGCCCTGGGCCTCTCGTCTCCGACGGTGAATGAAACTCCGACACACATTCGTATGGTCACGAACTGACCTTATGATCGCGCCTACCATCGCAAAATACGGCGTCCACGAGTGAGCTGGCTTCCGTGACACATTTAGAGGATCGCTGCAATTTTTCTCCTGTCGCCACCAAACGGAGCAACCAGGACCACTCTGAGTGAATTGGCGGCGGCTGTGTTATATACCAAACGGAGATTGGCATTACAGAGAAGTGATATCACGACCCCGCGTCATATCTCGTAATGCCACGGCCCCGTGCCGCACACGTCAAATTATGGTAACTTGCGTACTCTGACTCCAACTCCATACAATGGCATACGCTTTGAATGCTTTCTCGCCAGTGCATGTTGAATGTCCGGTATTCGGATGGTATTCAGGCTGCCTTGCCCCTAGCACTAATACCGACTCCTATGTCGGAGCCTGCCGCCGGTGAACAGACAGGCGCAATAATCATCCATCCGAGTCGCCAGGGGGCACCCGCGTAAACATTTCCCGCTGGCAGATCCATTTTCGGCGATGATGGGCAGGCGGTTCTGGTGTCGGTGCCGGGAAGGTTGATGATGTTCTGGGTGCTCCTCAGAGTTTTGGGGCGTGTTCAACACCCATGGGTCTCATCACAGCCCATGGATGCCGTAGTCTGGCAGCCCGTGGGCGCCGTAGTCTGACAGGCCATGGGTGCCGTAGTCTGACAGTCCGTGGGTGCCGTAGTCTGGCAGTCCGTGATGCCGTAATCTGAGAGGCCGTGGGTGCCGTAGTCTGACAGGCCGTGGGTGCCGAAGTCTGACAGGCCATTTATGTCGTAGTCTGACGGCCTGTGGGTGCCGAAGTCTGGCAACCGCTGAAGCCAGGAAGCGTCTTCGTCTTTGGTCCTATCAAGGCTCGTGGAGCCAACGTGCCGGATCAGGGGGGGGGGGGGGGGGCAAGAAACAGGGTTGCAGTATATGACCCTGTGCACTCATTTGCGTATAGTATGCACATGCACATTTGTCACAGTGTGAAATGTAACGACATTCCAGGGTCGGTGACAGTACCACAATGCCGCACATGCGCAGACGTGGAGTCAGCGGCACGCCGCTGCCGACCTTGTCATTCAGCCTTCCGTTATGTTGACGGAATGACATATCGATATTCAAGGTCTTCCGTTCAACTATGTTACTCCTATGCGTATCTTTCTGGTGATAGCTATTATTTTGAGTGAACGCTCATAACGCTGGTTTTGCTGGAGCCTCTTCGAAATCTTAAGCCCACTTCTACTATTTCCGGAGGTGAGACGAAAGAAAATGTGAGTTAGCTTTACTAGAAAAACTTCGTTGTTATCTGCTGGAATGGAGTGATGAAGCCTGATAACACTGCCCCCTGTGCAATATGTATGAAGAGAATGTGTTGAATACCTGCAGATCGATAAGCCTAGCGGAGCATAATCCTGCAGGGAACGAGGGAGGGTGAGTTGAACCTCTAACGGGAAAGAAAGGACTACAAGAGAGAGAGAGAGAGAGAGAGAGAGAGAGAGAGAGAGAGAGAGAGAGAGAGAGAGAGAGAGAGAGAGAGAGAGAGAGAGAGAGAGAGAGAGAGAGAGAGAGAGAGAGAGAGAGAGAGAGAGAGAGAGAGAGAGAGAGAGAGAGAGAGAGAGAGAAGAGAGAGAGAGAGAGAGAGAGAGAGAGAGAGAGAGAGAGAGAGAGAGAGAGAGAGAGAGAGATATATATATATATATATATATATATATATAGATAGATAGATAGATAGATAGATAGATAGATAGATAGATAGATAGATAGATATAGATAGATAGATAGATAGATAGATAGATAGATATATAGATATATATATATATATATATATATATATATATATATATATATATATATATATATGCATATCTAAACACATATATGTGTGTCTGTGTGTGTATATACATGGTCATATGCGCATGTATAGAAAAATCCATAAATTATGCTATATAGCTTTAGCCATTTTCACCACCGACCCACAGCCTCCATCGTTTCGAGCTGGTCACTCTGCGGACGAGGTCAAAAAGAGTAGGGTCCACCTGGCCGCTAATTAGCCGAGTGAGAAGGGTGAGGGAATGCAAAACAGACGGGCGTTTGGCTCGTCATGAGAGGAAGCTAACGGGATCCTACTTTCAGCTTTGAAACGTTCAAACAAAGACCTGCACATGATTCGCAGCAACCACACCTGGACGTAACGCTGCGCTGTCAAATCCCCTCTCCTTTTTCACGCCTCAGTTACGCTCTATTTCCTATCTGACCGTAACCGAAGCTGGCCAGTGACACTCTTATTTAAGACCGAGACGGGCGAGCATGATGACTGAAACATTTGTTTTTTATAGAGTATAAGTATTGTAAAATAGCAAGTCAATTTGATCGTTATGGTCGTATCGTTATGGCCGTATTGGTCAAACCGAAAAACGCAACCCTTGCATCATACGTGTCAGTTTTTCACGTGCACAAAAGTTAGATTTTTGTGGAAAACCCCTTTTGATCTTCTAGTTTCTCGGTAACGTGTGAAAGAGCTCGTCAAAGGAGGCTAATGACGGGATATAATGCCTCCGAAGCAGGCCCCTGAATTGAAGATAACACTTGTTTTGCCCTGACTTGTCACCGGTACACTGATAGCGTCAAGCCCTCAGAAGGGCACGTAGAGCTTTCCTGACGCAAATGTTACCAGGCTACACCACTTCCATGCGTATAACACTCAGCTCTCAGAACCCCGTGACCAGCCGCGTCTACCCGAGAGTGACACCGCCACCCAGCGGGGCGCTCGGTGGTGGGTGTACTCTCGGAGGGCGTCACCGTCGTCACTGCCGTGACACCGCGCCGCGTTGACGCACGTCGTTGCGAGGCCGCGGACCACCGGCGCGTCGCCGGGGGCGTGGGTGGGCGGCGCAAGCCGGCCGGCCGCCAGCCAGCGCCGCCTGCTGGGAGGCGAGCCCTGGCCTGACACGACGGTCACAGGCGGACGTACTCCCGACGTCGGTCACAGGCGGACGTCCTCCTGACCTGGCGGTCACAGATGGACGTCCTCCTGACCCGGCGGTCACAGACGGACGCCCTCCTGACCCGGTGGTCACAGGCGGACGCCCTCCTGACCCGGCGGTCACAGACGGACGCCCTCCTGACCCGGTGGTCACAGGCGGACGTCCTCCTGACCCGGCAGTCACAAGCGAACGTCCTCCTGACCCGGCGGTTACAGACGGACGTCCTCCTGACCCGGAAGTCGCAGGCGGACGCCCTCCTGACCCGGCGGTCACAGGCAGATGTCCTCCTGACCCGGCGGCCACAAGCGGACGGGGTCTCGGGGCCCGGCGCTGCTGCGGCTCGCTACCGATAGGCTCGCCTGACAGAGCAGAGCGGGCCGGAGCGGGCAATTGCCGACCTGAGCTGAACAGGACTGCCGGTGGGCAACGTCGATCTCGGCAGATCACGACTGGCCTAAGTTAATCTGGCTATGTCACGGGCGATTTCTATGGACCTAAGCCCGTCACGAATGACCTCAGCATTCCCAGCAGGTCAGCTGACCTCAGTCGACATGAACAGGTCACACGCGATCCAAATGAATTTGCGTTGGTTGCGACCGATGTAGTCTGTCGGGTGCCTCGCAGGTGAGCTCTGTCGACTTGTTGGTGAACCTGAAGATATTCCACAGCGCACAGCGCACTTAGGGAGGACGAAAGGGGATGCAGGAGCATTACTTAACTCTGGACTGACTTCAGAGAAAAATGTTATGAAATATGGTTACAATTGTTCACACGTCTGTGAAATAATAACTTCGGGCCTTTTCTCTACGAAATCCCTGCTCGGTCTACATCCGAATAGAACAGGCAACGAATGCCTAGTTCAGCGAACTGCTCACGAGCCTTGTCAACTGAAGGAGAACAAATGCACTACCGCTCTCGCAAGCTTTTAAGGCAACAGCCAAAAGCGCTGAGCCACAGACATCGGACATGCTGCTCGAGATATATCTTTACAAGCACTCATGAACTCAAGCCGGAAAACATGTTGCTGTAACTTGACTCGGCGGCGTGCCTGATCCAATTCACCATGAAGTCCGACCGGAAAAAGCCGGCACAGCCTCTCGCTGAATGACTTCATAGACGTCGAAAAATGACTACAGCACATGAATATCGAATCACTGAGCCTGCAACAACAGTAAGCTTGGGTGCAACTCCATACATCCTCCATATTTTCCACGTCCACGCACATACACACCCCTGCCAGAAGTCGCCATGTGACTAGTGGATCGGTAGTTTTATATGCAATTACAAAATGTTAAACGGGCAACAACCCAAAATTCTTGCCGAGAAAAGTAAACAAGAGCGTAGTCAACAAACAGTCGCTTCAGCTCGCGCACGGCTTTCCATTTCAACTCAGCGCATGCAGAGCGAGACAAGAGCCCATCCAGCTGCCACCCCAGGGCGCTCGAATGGCTGCGCGGCCGTATCTCCTGACTTGGGTAAGGTCTTCTGCCAAGTGGGCCAAGTTTGTCGGAACATCTGCCTTCCAGGCACGATCCATCAAACAAAACTTGCGTCATTTTTCTCCGTCGGCAGGCTGGTGCGTGACGTCACTGTTTATCGCACCACTTTCATCAAGCTCGGGGCGTGGCGCGGAAGCAGACGGTGCGGCGCCGCTCGGCAGCTCACGCTGCTGCAGGCACCCAACAAAAGGATGCGTGAATGCGCACGTACCCCAAGATGGCTGCTTCCGCAAAGGATAGACTATTAAAAGGGAGCATTTGGAATGGGTATATAAATTGCATAGAAAAGTGTACGATTTTGAATGTGCACATATTCATAGATGTCCGTTTTCGCAAAGGATGAGGTATTTGAAAACATATGAAATGGGTCAATCGATTGCGTAGAAGTGTATGATTTTGAGGTGCAATAAGCGACCGATTTAAGTTTTAAAAAAATTTTCCTGATTCAAACGCGCCGATAGCGACATAAAATTGTAGATCAGTACAATATCACGAACGTCAAAATCCATGCTGAATATTGACGTTCATGATATTGATATTTCCGCAGCACAGCAGCTACCAAACATTCCATGCGGTTAATCTAAGTTAAAGGACTAGTGTGTACTTTGATGATAATCAACATGCGATATCTTTAAACTTCAATTTCGTTCTTATCTTTTAAGCCTGGTCTACTGTAATATCAGCTCAGAAGTGCAATGCCCCCATCCACCTTAAGAAAAGTCAAGCCACCCCGTATAGCGCCGCAGGAATCTGGGCGATTGATTAGCCAGTGTATGATAGATTGCAATCTAATAACACCTTCGATATGTTTTTTAGACCACAAATACAGTTTGCCGGCAGTCACAATCCTGGAAACAATACATCAACACAAAAACGCGCCGAGGTATTCGTGTCATCGGGGTTGAACCAAATTTCCGAGTTCTCAATACCTGTATTCGTATGGCCGTCATTTTGATTTCTTCTGTCATCGTTTGCCAGTTTTACTGCGACATATGTCTTGCATTTTCATGATTATTTGTTGTGCGTCCATTGTTTAGTTGGTTGCCGTTTTCCAATTAACGTTTCCAAGAATAATAAGAAAGTGATACTGTTTTGATTTCGTGATCCCCAGAAGCCCCCAACAAAGTCAACTATGCATCGGACGGTTCTGCATGCCAGTGCTGCGAAAGCACCGCAACGATTGCTTTTCTGACATTTGCTTTTGACACGCCCGAGCACAGCGAGCGGATATTGATCGGAGCACAACACAATAACAGTGTGGCCCGGGTGACGCTCCGTTTGCACTTGACGCCGCGTATGACCTTCGTAGTCGGCAAATGTCGCACGCTGGGGCGCGCCCGGTGACTAACGACCTACCGACGGCAACAAAGGCGTGCTTAATTACCGACGGGCAACAGACGTAGCTGCTGCTGCACTCAATCCCAAAATCAATCGAGTTGACAGGGTGCTTACTGGTCGGACAGAGGGCTATTCAGTGGGAGCTACATGACATCGAGCACTCTCCACATTCCTGTCACGAGACAAAAAGGGGGGGGGGGAGGGAGGGAGGGAGGGAGGGCCTGGAAGGAAGCCACCCGATCACTCACCAGTCGGAGGACTCGTAGGACTGAGAGACCGTTGATGTTCTGCAGCGACAACTCCACCAGGCTAGCCACCACTACTATCAAGTCAAAGATGTTCCACCCGGATCGAAAGAACTGTTTGCTGATGGCCACCACCTTCAGTAGACACTCCAGTGTGAATATAGACGTGAACACCTGGAACAGACGGAAGAACTGGTTGCTGATGGCCACCACCTTTAGCAGACACTCCAGTTGAATATGGACGTAAACACCTGGAACAAACGGGAGAGCTGTTTGCTGATAGCCACCACCTTCAGTAGACACTCGTGTGAATATAGACGTGAACACCTGAAACAAACGGAAGATCGACAACAAATTATCCATGAGTGGGCAACAGCAGCAGATGACGAGCCAATAAGACATCGTACCAGACTACCTTCACACTTCACACTTGCATCACACGTTGTAGACCCACTCTAATAACACTTACGACCTTGTTCCAGGTACCAGATAACGACCGCGCCGAAACGCATACATCCTGTATCGAGGCCCATCTCATAGCTTTTCAACGCCGGGTTTCGGACAGCTGAAATAGTCTCCGGGTTTATGCTTGCGTGCGGGAAGCCTCACTGCGTTGCCCCCACCGTTCAGCCTCCTTCCGTACGTAACATAACTAAATCCGCCGCCAGACGCCTTGCTGTTTTACGGGCCCGAGGCGGGTCTATTTCCGCGGCCGCCCGCGCTCTCGAGGAGCTCCGGTTCGGCGTGGCCGGCGCGGCCGGCAGCCCGCGGCGGCGCCCGACCTCTCCATCGGGGGTCACGGCGCGCGCCGCCGCGCCGGTGGCGTCCCTATCACGCCTCTCGTGCCGTTTCTCCGGCATTGATTGGTGGCGGCGGTGGGCCGGCCGGCTGGCGGTGCGATTTGGGCGGCTGCGGTCGGTCTCGTAAAGCCGACGTACAGTCGAGAGACGTGTCCGGTTTACGAGTGCCCCGGATTAGAGAAGAGGGCCGCCGCCGGCGCCGCCGCCGAACGCTGACGTCATGCCACCGGGAGAGCACCGCCGGCAGCCGATCGTGGATTTGGAATGACGATGGGGGTGGGGAGTGGGTGGGGTGGGAGGGAGGGGCAGAGTTTCGGTAGATGTAATGGTCCAGCGGAGGAGTCAAGAATCGACGTGGCAGTTCAACATACAAATATGTCGCGGCGGTTGTTCGTTGTCGGTTACGGCAACGGCACCATATTGCTCCTATATGCTGGCTGATTAGCCCACACAATCAATTTTCTTATTGAAACATAGTGTGATACTTGTGCTTGATGAAATGAGCTGCATTAACCTTTCAAAACAGATGTGAGATCGGCTTAGTTCCGCTTAATCATTGTTTACGCAAAGCTTAGCCTAATATCAGCATGAGTTATGCCATAATTTGCAGGAACATATTTGGAGTGGGGGACCACGGTGAAGTGTGAAAGCCTCGGATCCCATATAACCCGCACTGCAGCCCTGGCCAAAGTCAAAGCGCCATTTAAATCGCTTTAGTCCGAACGTGGCGTGCGGCATGCTAGCCCCGCACGGACGACGTTTTACGGAGCTCGGGCTGAGATTAAAGCGTTAATATTAACACGGCCCCTGCTGGCCCGGACCACAGCGGTGCGACCGCCCTGCAGGCCGGGTCACAGCGGCACGATCGCCCCGGAGGCGGGACCGCAGCAGTGCGACGGTCTCGGAGGCCGGACCGCAGCGGCGCGACCGTCACGGAGGCGGACCGCAGCAGCGCGACGGTCTCGGAGGCCGGACCGCAGCGGCGCGACCGTCCCGGAGGAGGGACCGCAGCGGCGCGACCATCCCGGAGGCCGGACCACGGTCAGGACGAGTCACTCGCGGGCGTAGCGAGATATCACCGCACTCAGACTTGCGCGATTTCACGCTGGTTGACCGAGGACTGACGGCCACTAATTAAACCGGGTCGGCCTCGCGCTGGCGCCGGCGGTGTCACGTACGGCACCGGGACAGGCTCCCGCCCTCGTCCGAGCTCGACCTGGGGCAGGTGGGGCACAGCCCCACCAAGGCGGCCGCTTGAGGGGAGGAGGGGGAGCTCCGATTTGTCGCGTGCCCAAGGGGCGGCACAGGCGATCGTGATACCCACGACTTTTCAGTCGTGAAACGAACACTTTAACATGAACTGCGCTGTTCTTGATTACGTTTCAACACCCAGAGGAATTTAGCTTGGATAAGGACGTGCTCAGGAAGGGCTCAATCCAAATTTCCACCACTAAATTCGTTGAATGCATGGTCCTAATTTCTACGTCAGAAAAGCCATTCCTGTTATCAATTTTAGATATGTACCATACGGACTGCAGACAGGCCTTCGGAGTACCGGAGCGCTGCACTGATAACTGCAAATCCGACATTGAGTAGCTGCTGAACTTCAGAGGATACGAAGGCATGGGCCTCCAGTCTGGTCTTTTTATCGTCCAAGCCGAGACAGAAGACGAGCGATTGTTTCTGCAGTTTAGGAAGACCCAGCCGCACGACGGCGCAACAGCTGTCGGCGCAGCGACGGACCAACACCCCGGATTACAGGGGGGCTACGTGACGCCGAGCGGCAGGGAGTTGTCGAACGGGACAAAGCCCTTACAAAGTCGAGCGAGATCGTGGGACGATGCAGGGTCGGACCGGGCGGAGCCGGTACAAGACGGTTCAGACAGAGGCGGTATTGGGGCACACGACGATGGGTGATATAAACATGAGAGAAACAGAGCTAGGCGGGATTGCGACGGAACCAGAAGAAGATGGGTCAAACCGCTAGCGTCAGACGAGGGTGTTATACACGCTTATAAGTCTGACGTAACCCGGTCAGCCGAAACTAAGCCGGGGGGAAGGGGATCAGACAAGCCCGAGTCGACAGGACTGGGTTAGTCAGACTGGGCAGACCGAGTTAGTCAGACTGGACAGACGGGGCAGAGCTAGTCGGGACTGAGTCTGTTTGAACTGAGAGAGGCCAGTGCTGAGCCGGACGGACCCGAGCTATATCAGGTGACGTCGACCAGAGCTGAGCTAAATGGAACTGTGTCCGACGGGAATGAGTCCTGAGCCAGGTGAAGCCCAGCTGGGCACTGATGCTGTTGAATGGGACCTGACTGGATCAGATGGACCTGAGTCGGACAACACAGAGTCGGATAGGACCGGGTTAGGCGACAGGCTAGAGTTAGACCGAACCACATGAGACGGACTGCGTAAGACAAAACTGAGTCAGACGAAGTGAGCAAGAGCGTGTCGAAATAAATGAGACTGAGTGACACGGGACAGAATCATGCGGGACGAAGCCCGGCGGGATTAAATCGGACGAGATTCAGCCAACGAGCTCGTCGAAGAGCCAGGTTATCAGTGTGCGCCAGCGAACGCCGCTTTTCTTCTCACTGGCTGGGCTCGCCAGTCAGCAAACGACGGTCCGCCTCGGTGAGAGACGTTACCCAAACGGAGATGGCCCAGGTAGCACGCGCACCGCACGAGAACAGTGCCGCAGCCATACGCACATACTAGTGCGAGCCCGAGTGCTGCCGGTGATTTGGGTTGCCTTATGCAGTTCAGTGAAATGTTGAACCGTTTTATTCTTGCCAAATTTGTTTTGTGAGCACTGAGTATATGCGAATATCCTCAAGTCGAACATATGGAAACTCTGTACACTTCAAAGGCAATTTCTTAAATGTAGCAGCGACACGAGAACCATGTTAATTTACCGTTTACCAAACTGATAAACCGACAGACATGCCGTACCTATTTAATCATGCACGCGCCACATTATGGCGGAATGCAGTCTGCATTATTGAAATCCTTCCGCATAAGTTCTGATAGTCTTGCACTTGCCATACATACCCTGTTTCCGATCTCCAGCGTCTCCTTCATCTCGATGGACATGCCGTAGTGCTCCATGGCCAGGAAGGCGGTGTTGAGGATGATACAGAGCGTGATGAAGACGTCGAAGCAGGGGTCGGTGACCAGCTGGTGCATCCGGTTCTGCCAGCGCAGCCACGGGCCGTAGCAGAAGCAGCAGGAGACGCAGCAGTCGCAGTTGCGGTCAGGTGTCTCATCTGAAGAGGGAGAGTAGCATGGACGAGGTCATGGCAACATCTGACCGAGAAGAGCAAGCAATGCCACGCCGTGACCTATCAAATGCGCAAATGCAACTTTACACAGACCGCTACTTTAGGTTGCGCTGCGTCCAATGTGCTTTCCATTACATTAGTTATATTGAAAGGCTTTATCTTGGGAACTAAAAGTCTGACAGGGAATCTGGTATCCACCTCAATGATGTCTTAATTGTGTAAAGCAAGCCCAAAAATGAGACGGTGCTGATCTAATCTCCGACTCGTAGCGACGAGTTGCTTTATAGCACAAATCCACCCGCACGGTTTTATCAAAATCAGGCACAAGCAAGCACAGAAAGTCGGGAGCGGCCGCTAACCCACGCACAACGTCGCGTTGAATGTGCGCCCCTTCCTCACCGTGCAGTTCGACCACGTGCGAGATATAGGAGGGCGACGGGCTGCGGTGCTTGGGGCTGATGCCGTTGCACTTGTCAGAGAGCGTCACCTCGAGGTCCAGAGCCTTGGCCAGCGGCGTGATGTCCTGGTGGCGCGGCAACCGACATCAAAGACATGCACTGCGCTCAGATCTGGACATGCCTGACGTCAGGGGTGTTCAAACCGCACGGCCTGGTCTATGACGTCAGGGGTCTCCGAATCGCATGGCCCGGCGCGTAGTCATTAACATGGCTTAGCAAAATGAATGACTGTATGAATGAATGAATGAAGGAATGAATGAAGGAATGAGTCATGGCTGCTTTATGGCTATCATAAGCCTCAACTTTGTACGTAAATTTACTCTGGAGTTTGTCGCAAGGACAGCATGTTTTGAGCATTTCGTCCAGCGTTCATTCCACTGCCTTCCCAGCACAAAATTCCTTAGACCTGACCAAATACGTCAGACTACACCATGTGCAGTATGCACGAACGACTGCATAAGTAAGGTGACCTTCGTTCCTAAGCCTTCTATTCTGAAATAAAGGAACACAAGACCTTCCGAGACGACACACTCAGCGCCCAGAATACGACGAGATGAGTTCCACTCTAGCGGATGAGGCCATTTCTCCACATCCACAGCCGGGCACATGGGGCCGCTGTTGTCATGGGCCCACGCTAGGACACAAAGACTGCTGTGTCTGTAGCCCCCTTGCAGAGAAAATTGCCCATGTCTGCGCGCTCGGTCAGAAGGGAGCGTTGTAAGCGCGCCTTCGCACCCGCCCGGGAATGAGGCTGACGTCAATGCATCTCTCCCCAATCGGACAGATGGGGCCAATGGGTTCGTAACTATCCTTCAGAGCCAACGTCCATGCATCATCTCGCGGGAGGCACCACCGACTGCTCGCCTCCCCGCACTACAGACTGCCGCCCTGCGTCCCGCGAACAGAAGACCGCCGTCTCGCGTCTTCTGAACAGCAGACCGCCCGTCTCAAGTCAACTGAGCAGCAGACCGCCGTCTCGCGTCCCCCGTGCAGCCGACCACCGTCTCATGTCTCCCGAACAGCAGACAGTCACCCCGCATCTCCCCACCATCATAACGCTGCCTCGCGTCCCCTACACGGCAGACCGTTGCCCAGCATCTCCCGAACAGCAGACCGTCACCCGGCATCTCCGAAAAGCGGACCGTCACCCGGCATCTCCGAACTGCGGACCATCACCTCGCATCTCCCGAACAGCGGACCATCGCCTTGCATCTCCCGAACAGCGGACCGTCACCCGACATCTCTCGAGAAGCGGACCGTCACCCGGCATCTCCCGAAAAGCGGACCATCGCCTCGCATCTCCCAAACAGCGGACCATCGCCTCGCATCTCCCGCCGACGCCTGAGCAGACGCCTGTCCCGAACCCTAACGATGCCGGGATCACCTCGTTTGTGCTCTGCGAGAAGGCAGCGGCCGGCCGCGCCTGGCGCCACCAGATATCAGATATGGCGTAACGACCGCGCGTACCACTGTGTAACGACCGCGTCTGCGTGATTGCGCCGCAACAACCATCAGCGACGTCACGACCTCAGTGACGTCATCACAGGCAACTTTGCCGAGCGACGGCGGCGTTGACCCATAGGAAATCGAGCGATAGTGGGCGGCCAGGGTCAGCTTTTGGAGCGACCCTCACACTGGAATGGTGATATAGAAGATGGCTACGAGGTCTGGGGAACCAGAAGTACGGGGTTCGATTCGCCGCGGTGTTCGCCCTTCGTGCCAGGGTGAGAGGCAGGCGGCGCCACATAACCTCAGCAGCTGGAAGCATCGTTAAGCCCCAGTGACAACGCAGTCAAGTAAATGTCGATGGGGGTGTGGGCGTTGGTAAAATTTGACACATTGCCATTCAAAAGCTGGCCAAAAAGTTTCTCACATGGGAAGATGAGAATCTCTTGTTTCAGGAAATAAGATAAAGATACGATAGATACAAACGTGATAGTGGAAACCCATGTTCGGTTTTGAGATCACCACATTTGCTACCTCGGAACATTCCGGTTTTTCACGTTGACAACGGCAGAGATCCCCAGCGGGGAGAACAATCAGCTGTCTCACCTCAGTCCGCACCAAGAGATTCTTGCCGCGGTCGGACATGGTCTCGTGGTCGCCCACCACGCCCGAATCGTCGAGCGAGCAGTCCCGCATCCCGCTGCGCCGGATGTCGCAGACGGAGCGCTGCTCGCTGGTGCTCGAGTCGCTGTTGCCGCGCATCTCGCCGATGCCCTGCGACTCGACGCTGGTGGCGAACATGGCGGTGCGCAGCGCCTCGCGGCGGCCGCCGGCGCGGTGCCCGGCCAACGGCGACACGGCGTCCTCGTCCAGCGGCGTGCCCGCCTGCTGCCCGGTCGTGATGTGCACGTAGTACTCGTCCGACTCGCCGCCGGGGAACATCTGCACGCGCGTCTCGTCCGACGCGTCCAGCTGCTCGCAGGAGGAGCGCAGCGGGTGCTGCGGCTGCTGCTGGCCGGCCGCCGGCGGCAGCGCGCGCACGTTCAGCTCGGACTCGTCGCACGGTACCTCCACGGTCGCCACGCCGCCCGGCGAGCGCGCGCTGTCGAAGCCCGTGGAGGACGGCCGCCGCTGCGGACTGGTGGCCGGCGAGCGCACGGCGCCCGGCAGATCTCCGGCTGTCAGCGACGTCGCCGGCTCGACGCTCAGCAGCTCCGCGACGAGCGTGGCGCGCGGCCGCGGCTCGCTCGCCTCGCGCTCCTCCTGGTCCTCGCTCGCGCGCCTCTCGCTCGGAGGCGGTACGCTGGAGCGGCCCTCGTTCGAGACGTAGCTGTCGTCCTCACGCGTGGCGCTGTCGCCCGCCCGCTTCTTGGCCTTTTTCTTCTTCTTCTTCTTGTTGTACGTGTACGAGGCAAACAGAGTCCGGTTTTTCAGTCGTATCGTCGGGAACTTGCTGTCCTTGTCCAGACGGTGTAATTTCAGGTTGGAGGGGTCGAAGCTGAAGGTTGAGTCATCTCTGTGATCGGCCAGGTCCTTGGTTTTCTCCTGTAAATGGGCACTTGTGTTACAACTGAGGGATCGACAAGCTGGAGCTATACACGCAATAGCGCATGAAATCATATCCATAATGTACATCATTTGTGAGACGAATCGAAAAGTCGAAAAAAAAGAAATGAATAACACACATGATGGGATTAGGGATGCCTCAGATAGCTAGCGCCTCACGGACCTGTAATTTCAACCCAATATCCCGAACTCACGAGATTATGCGACGAAGGTAAATTTTGGCTCAGCAAAATCATTACGTTACATACGTTCCTTCAGATAAGGCTCATCTTTCCTAGGACAGGAAGACGGTGCGGACGTTCATTTCAGCCAGCATGAATCATTCACGAAGAAGACGAGCTGAAATGTAGGGTGATCAGCTCGCTATATGGGTTGGACCATGCTTCCACCAGACCCATATGGCTGATGACACAACCGGCAGATACCCTGCCTGATTTGCGAAGGGCTCTTGATTAAAATCCATCGCCTGGTAGCGCGGTCGATTTCCTGGTCTATCTTTACCTCTCAGCTGGCGAGCAGTAATTGAAAGTTCTCGCCTTGTGTGAGATTGGCGGCGGGGCAGATGACGCCTGCGGCGGCGCACAACTGTCGACCGCACGCGACGCCCGGCCAAAAATAGCTCGCCGCCCGGGGCGGTCCTCCGCGGCGACAACAGCGCTCGCGTCACTGGTCCCGTTGTTGGATCATGTTAGAGAGACCCAGTCGCGGTGTGTGTCAACAACAGCGCCGCCTGGTCCGGTCCAGGTGTCCGGTGCGGTCCGGTTCTCTGGTTTGTGAGGTTATCTGACCTGGCCTGGCCCTCACCTGAACTGGCCCGGCCACCGGACGTGGCCCGGTCATGTGGTCTTGCCTGGTGCTTTGACCTGGCTCAGTGACAACACTTGGCCTTGTCATCTGACCTCACCCGGTCAATTTACCTGGCCCGATCACCCGGCCTGGCACGGCCACCTGACCTGGCCCAGTAACTCGGCCTGGCACGCTCACCTGACCTAGCAAGACCTCCTGTCCTGGCGTGGTCACCTGACCAGGCACGGTTACCCGACCTGGCACGGTCTCCTGACCTGGCTGGTCACCCCACCTGGCACGGCCACCTGACCTGACTGGTCACCCGACCTGGCACGGTCTCCTGACCTGGCTGGTCACCCCACCTGGCACGGCCACCTGACCTGACTGGTCACCCGGCCTGGCACGGCCACCTGACCTGACTGGTCACTGGGCCTGGCACGGCCACCTGACCTGGCTGGTCATCCGGCCTGGCACGGCCACCTGACCTGACTGGTCACCCGGCCTGGCACGGCCACCTGACCTGGCTGGTCATCCGGCCTGGCACGACACGTCGCCGCCGACAGCCCGTGTGAATCAGACGAGGTGCGAGCGGCAGCGCACGCGCGCCGGGCGGGGGATTAGCATCGTTTGCATTTCGACGGCGCTGCCAGCAAGCGACGGCCAAGCCGTGTGGGAGCGCACCCGCACCCGGAGAGTGGCTCGGTGAGCGCGCGTATGGGGTGCTGCTTTCTATGCCGATGCCGACTGTAAGGAAGTTTGCTTGAAGGGGCAGGCGATCACGGGGGGGGGGGGGGATTGGCCAGAAAGTCGTTCCGGGGGAATGATGGACCCAATGGAGTCGGACTCCGAAACTCGCACGTTTAAGGGGTTGTGATGTTGCTGACGTGATCAAAAAGCTGATGCAGCTTGAGCTCGGTTAAAGCCGTAGCAAATTTCGAGATCACAACGGAAAGTATCAAAATGTGAAAGGACTTAAGTATTACAGGCAACACAGCAAAAACAAATGTTTTGGGCTGAAAACCAGACGGAGGACAACGCCAGACCTTTCCGTTTACCACGTCCCCCCGATGCACGAGCTTAAGCCAACACCGCACAGACTGCAGGCAGCGTAGCATGACGTCACATAAGACATTCACATAACACAAACGCCGCTGAAAATAGCCCCTGCCGACTCCAGCACTCGCGACTTTGTGGCTGAGAGAGCGCGACCTCAATAGCCCCACACGGTGTGGGTGGGCGTGGCAAATATTACATTCGGGCCGGGAAAATGTCCCGCGGCACGTCACATGGGACAGATCCCTCGGGTGATGCCAGAAATGATTTGGTGGCGAGAGCCATGATTAATATGAATGAGAAATGGGCAGGGTTGTCGAGGACAGCATTCATAGTTGGGTCACGTATTACGCGGTGCTTTTCGGACCAATTTAGACCAAATTAGCGCACCGCTGTCTCATCGATCGGTCATGTTGACAGCCACAATTTACAGCGCAGTGTTCACGACACAGTGACTTCTTGGGCTGTGGGGAGCAGTGTACGGCCGATACGCCAGGCCTGAGATCAACTACGAGGTTGACTTTACCACCTCGGAAGTTCGGGCGGGGTGGTCGGGGGGATGGGGAGGCTGACCGTACCTCCTCCGTGTTCTCCGCCTCCTCCTCGTAGCTCATGGCGACGACAGCCAACATCAGGTTGATGAGATAAAAGGAGCCGAAGAAGACCACCAGGCCGAAGAACAGGATGCTCCAGGGACCCATCGCAGCGATTATCTGGAACAACGGAGCGGGTTAGAGCGCGCGCGATGACTCGGCCATACTGGCAGCCAGCAGAACGGAGCGCTTGGCAACGCCTCTCGTGAGGGCGGCAATGCGCCTCGGCTTGGATGGAGAACTCTGCATGACGTTTCCCGCTCCCTTATCTCTCGTGAGAGCGGCAATGCGCCTCGGCTTGGCTGGAGAACTCTGCACGAGGTTTCCCGCTCCCTTATGGCGTCGGCGGTCGACGGCCCAGTCGCATCAATCCCGTAGACGTTGTCCGTTAAAAGACTCAGAGGCGGCCCCAGAGCGTTATGACACGAGTGGCGTAGCGCGCCAGTTAAAGGGAATGCTCCACATTTTAAGAAGCTTAACCAAGCATCAGGTATGATCAAAGAAGCTCACTTACAACTTTTGGTATATCTCGAGCTTGAAAACGGCTGCCCTAGTCAACACAATTTCGCTGTTTAGTAACTGTGCTCCTCAATATGTCATTGTTTGATCGCGTCCTTGCACCTTGCACAGCATCGGTTGAGAGTTAATTGACGGTCGCTACATCTGGAAATCGTGGTCAAGAACGCTAGATATGAAAGACTCGACAACTATATTTTTATTGGCCTTGATCATCGCATGACCAATGGAATGGGAGGATTTCACTGACGTCATTATGGCGTCACGGATGCCTGAGTGACATTGAACTTGTCTTCCCGAAGAAGTCTGCACATCTTCGCGGGCGGTAGCTCAGAAACTAGAGGGTCTTTGGCCATTGGAAGACGGGCTGTGAACTGCGCCGAATGATCTTCAAAGTGGCCATTTCAGTTCAAAATCCCGTCTAAATGTGGAGCGCTCCCTTTAATTCGGAGGATAGCAGCACCCTGCTTTTTTCTTAAAACTGTAGCGGTCATTTCTCAGGCTGTCTTTTCTGATTCTATTCCCAATATAAAAGAACCGAACGCTGCTTTATCACAAAAACAATTGCGTCCGTATTAAATTTTTATAAAAATGGCTTGATGGCCGACAGAATAGAACGAAGACAAGAATATTTGGTCTCTGTGGTAAAAATGTTCCGCCTGGGAGGCGACTGTCACCAGATAGCGCGTACTTCTGTCAAAAATCTGCTCGCGTCAAGAATGCTGAGCCGTGAATTTGGCGTCGGCGTGGACTCCACTCTCCGTCATCACTGCTCCCACCAGCAGTGCGCGCTGGCGTTCCATCTAAGCTGCGTCACTGCACTGCTGGCGCGGTCGGAGACTCAGGCAACCAGCGCGGCGCCGCCCGGTGTTTGTTCGGCGCGGTCATCTCCGACCACGCCGAACAAACACTGCGCGGCGGCGGTCGGAGTTCGTGCGGTGCCGGATGACAGACAACTAGCCAGGCGCCGCCCGGTGTTCTTTCGGGGGGTCGCAGGCTCGGACAGCCGACAGCCGGGGCGCAGCTGCCCGGTTCTTGCCGTCCTGACCGGACCACACCCGCCGCAGCATTGATCGTTGTCACCCTCCCCGCGCCGCTCCTCACACCGGGCCTCGAGAGCCAATTCAATAACAGCAACACACAAAAACACTCGCCGCGCCGCCGGCCGCCGGCCGCCGGCCGGCCTGTCCCCCGGGTCCGCCCGCGCCGGGGGAGCACGACGGGCCGGCGGGCGGTGGGCGGTGGGCGGCGTGAGCGGCGCAGATCGGCGGAGCGGCAGACCCACGGGTGCAGCAAGCTACCACCTGTCTGTGCCGAACAAGGCAGCGGGCAGGGGCAGCAGCGGTGTGAGCAGTGCGGATGGACTGGGTCGACAGGCACCATGGCGCACCGAGATCGCAGATGGTCTGTACAGCTTGCCTTGCGCTGCTTGACATGCCCTAGCCGGTATTTACCGAGGGCAGTCATAACTGCTCCCCCTTCGAGTACTCGCCATAATTAAAAAACGTCGTCGGATTTTTGCTCTTATTTTTCTGTATCCAACTTTTCATACCTCTCAATTGATCAGTTCTGTCTGGTGCCAACATAGCAACTATAAAGCCGCAATACGTAAAGTGTGCGTCGCGTAAGAGTGACGTAATATTTGCCGATTTTTGACAGAAGTGCATTGCCGAAGGCAAACTGACACAAAAACCGAAGGAAGGAAGATGTCTGTGGTCTCAACGTTGTACATGAAAAGTTTGTATCCTTAATCTCAACTTTGTAAAGCAACGGTCCTAGATGCAACTATGGAAATGCCTGTACCACGTCTCAAATAATGGTCTGCAGCAGTGAGACTCAGTAATGGCTTGAAATTAATTGCGGTGCATATTCTCCCTGTCCAGGAAAGCTCAGATCGGTAGCGCCGGGCGGCGGAGCTCCGGTCTGCCGTGGCGGCGGGAGCCGCTCCAGTTCTTCGGATGCTCTGAGACCGCATGCCAGAGGGCTATCGATTGGCATTTATATTTTTCTAACTCGGCCCGATCGTTCTTGAAGAAACCAGAGGGTCGACTATGTCCCTCCGGTCAATGGTGTGCCACTGAGGTGAGGGGCCCGGTCAATGCCGGGTCAGGGGAGACGGGACAAAATGGCCGGGCCGTGCCGACCATGTGCGCAGCGCTGCTGGACGGGCGCGACGGGCCCCACGGGGGCGGCCGGGTCGCGGGCGGACTGTACAACACGGCTGACGCTGGTTGGCATGCCGCAGGGGAGATGGGACAAAATGGCCGGCCTTGCTGGTCATGTCAACAACGGCACGACATGGGGCTGGACACGCAGGACATTGGATGTCAAGCTGACGCCTGCAGACACATATGTCGTGTCCGCATTGTCCGAGGGGTCGAGGGAAGGTAGAACGAAGCAACGGAGGAAAAAATGAACGAAAAGCCGAAAGTGTAGATAAGGGGACGAACTTGACCATAAGGTTAGGAAACCAACTTGACATTCAGTATGTTTTTTCCGCCCGTGTGTCTCGCCTAGTGGCCAGCCACATGCATCCGACCCCTGTCAGTCCAAATGTCAGGGCCGATTATCCTTTTTCTGGCTCCCCGAAGGCGGGAAGTTGCTAAGCATCGCGAACTTATTCACGCATCTGTTGCATGTAGCCGAGTAATTACACGTCGAAATGCCAGCATGCCTGACCCCCTGTGGCAACGGAAAGATCAAAAGCGCCCCGCGGACGGCTAATCCATTATGGCTCCGCATGCGTGTCTATAGTGTTTGGGTTATGTTCATGCTGCATTGTGTACGGGCCTGGAGACCGTAGCGAAAGCGGGCCGAGTGCCGGTGACGCGGCATTGAGCGACGCTCCATCGATTGCCACCGTGTCTGCTGACGGTCAAGGCGACGGGGAGGTTAGCGCGCGCGCGGCCTGGCTCAGCAGGGCACGAGCGCGCTGCACAGCTTGGCGTCCCGGACATCCACTCCGCAATCGAGCTTCGAAAAAGTCCCAACCGAGCCACGGTCCGCAGTCGATAGAGGTGACGTCCGCACCCCAGTCAGAGGTCCATAGACTGACGTGTCATCAGCGGGGTTTACGGACATTATGGTCGACCGAGGTCGGCGTACGTCACCCACCATGTCGACATGTCGGCACGGTGTGGCCACTCCCATGTGCGCGCGCCACCACCATGATGCAAGCTTTCAATTGCACCTTTCAGCATGGGAGTAGCGGAACAGGGATTATGACCAGAGGCTACGACTCCCTCAGCGCCGCCCGCACCCGTACCGGCGGTTTGTCAGCCTACTGGGGCTCCATCACCTTGTTGTAGACGTCCTCCCAGAAGTCCAGTGTGATCAGCTGGAAGGTAGTCAGCATGGACCAAAGGAAGTTGTCGAAGTTCGTGTAGCCGAAATTCGGGTTTTCCCCTATCCCTGGCAGGCAGCTGTAGCCATCCGGACATTGCCTGCGAACGGAAGAATATGAATGTGACGTCACGCAAGGCGAATGTGGCGTCACACAGGGCGATAACAGGTGGTCATACGCTGGATGTACCGTTACGCGATGGGATAATGACGTCACACGGGAGTGTGATTTCATGAGTGAGCTACAATGGATTAGAACCGATTGGCCGTGCGCCGCGAAATATGCACGCCAAGCGCATAATGCACGGTGTCGAGAGCATGACGGCGGGCTACTTTCCGAGATTGCTGCTGTCATGCTATGGGCGCCCACAACGCGGCCCAAACTAAATTTATGCGGAGTGCGTGTATATCCGCCTGCATTAAAACCGGCTCCGTGCTCTTAATGTTTCCGGTGCATTAGTTCCGCAGCAAATGGCGGCACTAAGACCTGGTGCTGGTGGGGCGGGTGATGGGAAGCCTGGTGAGATACAGCTGCCTTGGCGGCAATGTGACCCGATAACATGCAATTGAGAGACACCAATCTAGTGCCCACGACGTTAACCGAAACGGGCCATTAAGTGAGGACGTTGACCATTCACAATGGGAAGTGAAACGTCTTTCGAGCTACTCCGAATGATTTCGACCCCCCCCCCCCCCCTTCTCCTCCCCAAACGCCCACGACCCGTCAGAGAGCGGAGCGGGCTCAACCATTACTCCGTGGCGCAGCTCTTCCGTCGGCCTCTCCGGCCGCTATGCATCGCACAATAACGACACAGGAGTGAGTGCCGCGAGGCCGTATCGCGACCGGGGAGCGTCTTTGGGAGCTGCTGCCGCGGGACATTATCGCCACCAGTTCCAAGACAAATCTGACTTCACACTCACCGCGCCCCGGAGCCATTCCCGCAGATCATAAAGTCCTCCGTGTGGTTGTCCTTCGCCCAGAATGAGCTGTCGTTCGTGTGCCTGCAAAGTGACGCCTCGTCAGGCCTCGAAGCCCTCCGCTGTTTGCTCTGGCTGGGAAAGCAACGTAGCAGACTGCGCCGTCTATAGCCGTCTGGCAGGCGATTCAATGAGACGGCAGCTGCGCACTGCACGGCCTGGCTGATAGCCTCCAGTCAAGCGTGTGCTCTCCCTCTGACCAGATATTTCAGTGCATCCGCTACAGCGACGAGTCTATTAGAGACGCCGGCGTAAGGGTCACCTCCGCGTAAAGCTGCCGTCCAGCGCGGAGAAACCAATGGCCGGAGCGCAGCGGGTTGTCAACGTCAGTCACTCTCAGACCCAATAATCAATCCCGGAAACAGTTCGAGCCGTTTAATAACAGCGATTTCACGCGTGAGCGGCTTCGGAGCAAGTGACGCGCCAGCCCAGCTGGAAGGCGCCCTTTTGAGCAAGCGCCGGCAATAGCGCTGCAGATGGTGCCAGAGGTGACTTCAGGGCTCAGCGAACCGTCTGGAAAGAGTGCTCACAGTTGCCATTGGGTCTCCGTCTCGGCAGAGAGCACGCATTTGTTGCGCAAGACGCCCATGAAGACCTGCAGCGCGAACAGGGCGAACACCATCAGGCAGAAGAGCGTGAGCGACATCACCTCCACCAGCTGGGTCAGCGAGTTCAGCAGCGCGTTGATGATGGTTCGCAGCCCTGCCGAGAGGAGGGAAAGAGGGCGTGACACGGGAGGCGAACAAAAATGTGACGCATTAAAAACATCCTGTTTCCGTACCCCAAAACGTGGTCAGTCTGTCGTTATCGTCAGCAAAATCGGAATTTTAAAATGTCATTTTAATGAAACGGGATAAGGCAGCGATATGGCAAGCCTAGAAGCATTGTCATTTGTGCAGCAAATCTCCGCGATAACGCTAGATTTCAGATATGACGTTGATAAGCGAGGGAAAGCTTTTCTCTGCAAGCCGATTTACATGATAACGTGAACTCGGACGGGAGAGCATCTCCCGCTATAGCCTCGGATCACAGCATTAAGGAAGCTGTGGTCGCAAGGGGGGAGGGGGGGGGGGGGGGCAGCGAGAAAAAGATGTGCGAACGTGCTTAGAAATACATTGGCTACACTCAAGGAAAAAAAAACGCCAGAACAGCACTATGTTCTAATTCCCTAGTCCCCGAGCGGCAAAACCTCCTAATAGAAGCCAACCAACCTTAAGAGAAGGATAACCTATTTTGATTGGAGTGCACTGCACTGCTTGACGAAACGTATACAATACATATGCATAAACATAGACATATTACAAAATCGATCAACCAGACATTGCGCGTATTTTGAGCGTACTTAGTACACCACGTGGCTTATCAGGACATCGATGATGTGGATGAAACGGGCGAAAACGGGAATCTGGCCATAAATAACATTGAGCCTACTTATTAAACTCGTTTCCGTTGACGACTACAAGATGACGGTTGTTGGTAAATCGTCAATCGCTTTGCTCATGCATTTGAGGTGTGTCAGGTGCTGACGTAAGAGACAGGACACCCCACTGTTTTTCAGTGTAACCTATGAGCTACTTCAAACTCTCGTGCCGCGTTAACTTCTGGGAGTGGTATCTGTTAAACGGCATACATCGCCTTAAAACATAACCAATTTCTGTACAACTCCAATGTGATAGCTGTTTTCGAAGCTCCATGCACTGAACGGTTCTTGGAATTCAAAAACGCAACGGCTTAATGTAACACCTGAAGCACTACTCAGCCGCCAAGTTAAGACCAAGTTTTGCCACAAAAAAGATAACAAGCACATCTAAGCTTATATGAAACTTCTTTCAAATGCGCCATCAGAATCAACCCGATCCGCCAGCGTGTCGATGTCAGCCTGTCATTCTTTAGCTGCGGGTCATCGCCTCGACAGCGTTTCTCCACGGCCGGCGGCCATGGAGGACGCTGCTGTGTGGGCCGTCTCGTACCAGTGTCCCAGCCCCGGTGCCCGGCCCCAGGTGGCTGACTGCCGTAGCGGCGCCAGGCCGTCCGGAGCCGGGCGAGACGACATCGACCTGCCGTCGGCGCCGGCGAAAAAAAACACGACACCGCTGCCGGCCCCGCCGCGCGGAGGCCCCGTCTGGGCGTCCGGCGGCCGGGGACAACAGGCGGGGAGCGCGCCGGGACGAGCCGCTAGGGACGGCGCCGCGAACCGCCGAGAGGCGCCCAGCGCTGCCAGATCAACTGCCGAGCGGCGTCTGGCGCCGCCATATCAACTGCCGAGCTACGTCTGGCGCTGCCAGGTCGACTGCCGAGCGGCGCCCGGCGCTGCCAGGTGAACTGCCGAGCTACGTCTGGCGCTGCCAGGTCAACTGCCGAGCGGGGTCTGGCGCCGCTAAATCAACTGTCGAGCGGCGCTCGGCACTGCTAGATCAACTGCCGAGCGGGGTCTGGCGCCGCTAGATCAACTGTCGAGCGGCGCTCGGCGCTGCTAGATCAACTGCCGAGCGGCACCCGGCGCTGCCAGATCAACTGTCGAGCGGTGCCCGGTGCTGCCAGATCAACTGCCGAGCGGCGCCCGGTGCCGCCCGATCAACTGCCGAGCGGCGTCTGGCGCTGCCAGATCAACTGCCGGGTGGCGCCAGGCGCTGCCAGATCAGCTGCTGGGCGGCGCCCAGTGCTGCCAGATCAACTGCCGAGCGGCGTCCGCCGCTGCCAGATCAACTGCCGGGTGGCGCCAGGCGCTGCCAGATCAGCTGCTGAGCGGCGCCCAGTGCTGCCAGATCAACTGCCGAGCGGCGTCCGCCTCTGCCAGATTAACTGCCGGGTGGCGCCAGGCGCTGCCAGATGAACTGCCGTCTCACTTATGTATCATGCCGCCGATCCCGTCCGAGGCAGCGCATCAAGTTAAACAATGGACAATAGCTCTGGCGTTGAATTTAACTGGCAGAGATTTCTTTGAAGGCAAACTAAGCCTGCAGCCAAAAGTTTACGGGCTAAGCGATTGTCCATTGAAAGTTCAGCGATCTTCAGATCAACCATAAAGGACACACAGCTGGCGTACCAAAGCGCAAACGCATGGACAACAGTGGTGCGTGGCAGGCAAATTGTACATCTTGGATTACTGCGCGGCAATTTTATCACCACTCCTGAGACATGTTTTGCACTTTTATGGTCCAGAGAAAAAACGAAGATGTGGAGGCATAGGTTTCACAAGCTTTGCACAGCTGCACAGCAGCCTTTCCTCGATTTTGTCCACCACTTTCTCCCGCTTGGCCGCTCTGCAGTCTCGGCAGTAGGTGGTCTCCATCTCTACCCGTGAATAAGAATAGTCTTAAAATGCGCACCCACCAATGGAAGCCTCTTACTTCCCCGCATTCCTCTGTTCTTCATGTCGTAAGCCTAAAACGACCATCTCCTGTCTCGACCTTCCCTGCTGTCTCGCACTCGTTCTTGCCAGTGCCGTCTCTACTTTTCACCAGTGCAGCGCTGTCGCTCCTCTCCTCCAATGCGGTCCCTCACTTCCCTATCCTTAATGCTGGCTTTTATTTACCTCAGCGGCATCTATTCCCTCTCTCGGTTCTTTTCCTTCTCTCTCTCAGCTATGTCCCTCCTCTCTCTCAGTCCTCTCTCTCATCTCCCATATTGCCCGCTGTCTTGTCCCCCAATGTCGTCTTCCTTCAGCCCAGTGCCATCGCCCCTCCTCTCTTTTTTGTCTCTGTCGCTTCGCCCAGCACCTTACCCAGCACCGTCTCTGGGGCCTCTCGTTACTGACTCCCCCTCTCTCCGTGACATCTCTGGTCTGCCCCAGCAACGTCTTTCTTCTTTCCCACTATTATCACTGTCTTCCCTCTTCTTAAGTGCCGTCCATCATGCTCACCAATGCCGTTTCTTATCTCCACATTATTGCCTTTTCCTCTCTTCGAGTGCCGTCCCTCTTCTCCCGCAACTGCCTCTTTGCTCTCTCTTCTCCAGTGCTGTATCATCCCCGCCAGTGCCGTCTCTCCTCCATCCCAGCACTCCTTTCCCCTCTCCCCCTACCCAGTGCCGTCTCTCCTCCCACCGAGTACTACTCTCCCCTCTCTCCCTCCCCGCTCCGCGGGGAGGGAGAGATGTATGCCACACATCCTTCCCTCCCCTGTGAGTCTCTCCTCCCACCCAGCGCTCCTCTCCCCCTCCCCCTCCCCCTCTCCACCTCTCCTGCCCTCCCTCACTCTGCCTCACCTCCCCTCCCCAGCGACATCTCTCCTCCCACCAAGCGCTCCTCTCCCCTCTCTCCCTGCCCGCTCCACCTTTCCTTTCCTCCTCGGCGCTCCTCTCTCCTCTCTCCTCCCCGCTCCGCCTCTCCTTCCCTCCCCAGCGCCGTCTCCGGCGGCACCAACAGACCCCACCCAGACACTCCCGAGTGATTGGCGCTGCCGCAGCCCGGCTCGGCCCTCCACCACGCTATTACGTCCCGCCTAATTACAAATTAGCGACAGTGCCATGAATTAGCGGCCTCGTCTCCTGGGCAGGAGACGCGCCTGCGGTGGCGGCCGCCAAGAAAGCGCGCCTGCCGCTGAGTGGCTGGGAGTGCTGCGTGGAAGGGAGACGCACAGGGAAGAGTGCTACTGGCCTCAAAGGAAACGCAACGAGCACCGTCAAAGTTCGATCCCAAGGTGTGAAATGTGTTCTGGAATATACATATGTACATACATATGTATGCATATACATATATACATATATGTACACATGCATTTATATGTATATAATTGTATATGCGCGTGTTACATAGATATTATGTGCGCATATATGCGTATGTATATGCATATTCAGATATTCTTCGGGTGGGCAGTGTGTTCGCAAAGACCCATCGAGCACGAGGTGGGCGCCACACATCTACTGGCAGTTCCGATGTGTTGTATCGCGTGCGCGTGACAACTGAGTGCACCTCAAACGCCTCTCCGGTCCTCCCCGGACTGCCCTGGGGCAGTAAGTGCGGTGCCACTGCCCCGTCAGCCTGAGCACCGGGGGCAGCTGTCGCACTAACGGCCTAATTACATTCAATCGGACCAGTGGGCCCGGTCGATTCCCGTAAGCAGCCGCCATTGAAGCCGAGCCGATGGCAGGAGCGGCGCGGGGCCGCCCGGGAGCACCATGGAACAGCCGCGTCCGCCGACACAATGCCGGGCTAATGGCGACGGACGTCCGTGCAGAGTGCCCGGACGGCGTGATCCTGGGGCGGACAAGGCTGGACCGGACTGGGGCGCACTGGGGCGGCGGACGGTACACTGTGACGCACTGGGGCGGCGGACGATACACTGTGACGCACACGGGCCTGTACCGAGCGGAGAAGTGGGAGAAGCGCTGGGATGGACATGGCACTGGGCCCGACAGAGTGATGGCACTGGGGCGGGCGGGGTACAGGACATTATATGGCACGGCTTCTGGCCGGGTCCTGTGATGGGCAAGCTCAGTGTCCGACGAGGCTGCACACCGCTAGAGCGGACGGACCGCTAGACAACGGACACCGGACAGACCGCTAGACAACGGACACCGGACAGACCACTAGAGCGGACAGCGTACAGAGACGGGCAGGGGACGGAGCGGACAAGGCACCCGGCAGGAAAGACCACCGCGTCCGGCACGGTCTGGGACGAAGGAGGTACGTGAACGTGAAGGAGGTACGTGAACGTACAGAGCACTGGGACGTACAGGACACTCACTGGTGCGGGCGTGGT